TACATAATTTAAAAAAATATATATTTTTTTTAATATATTTTTATTTATTTATAAAAATTTTTTTTTAATATTATATTTTTTTTAATATAGTTATCTTATTTAAATTTAATTTTTTTTTTATATATATTTGTTGTTCATCCTAATAATAAAAAAATTGATTTACTTTTAATTCTACTATATTAGAAAAATAAAATACATAGATATATTTTAAATTAATAATAATATTTAAGAAATTTTTATTACAAGAATTATTAGTCAAATTTATAAATAAATTTAAATTCTTATTCGAATTTTTTTTTTTTTTATTAATAACCAAAAAAATATGTAATATATTTATACAAAAAAATAAGGAAATTTAGTATCTAATATATATTATTAAATTAAATACAATGAAAACAATGAACAATAAAAAAAATTGTAATGAAAATAAATAAATTAATTTTAATTATAATTAAATCAATAATTTAATATATAAATTACTATAAATACAAAATAAATACAATAACAATTATAATTATAAATATAAAAGTAATATTAATATCAATAATCTTAAAATATGGGGAAAAAAATTATATATTTTTCCATATAAAAACAAGAAAAACACTAAATAATTTAATTATATTTATAAAAATTATTAAAATTTAAAACAATTTTAAGTTTTAAATGAAAATATAAAAAATAAAATATTTTTTAATTGAAAGTATATAAAATAAAGATAACTCTATGGATATATTATTAAAAATATATCTAAATTCTATTTGATTTGATACCAATAGTAGTTAAAGCAAAATATTAAAGCTTGTAAAATATAATATAAGTTATAAGTGTGTTTAAAAAAAATTAAAAATAAATAAAATGAAACGATTTAATTTGTTTTACAAAAAATTGACTGTTTATTTTAAATTGGTTTTAAAATTTTATTTTTAGTATAAAATATATAGAATTTTCTAAACATTCTATAAAATAATAAAAAATAAATGTATATAATTAATAATTAAATTTTACATAATTTGAATTTTTTTTGTTTATCATTTTTTATGTATTTTCAAAAAAAATTATATAATTAAAAAACTCTTTACAATAATTTAAAATAATTTTTTATATTTATTAGTTTAAAATATTTATTTATTTATTATACAAATATTATTAGTAATCCATATTCTTAAACTATTTTTATAATTAAAGCCATTAGTTAAATTTATTATATTTACTATAATCCTTATTACTATTGTTTAATATGTTCATTCTTAATTTTATTTTACAATATCTTCAAATTATTATTTATATTAGCTATTTAATTTTAACAAATTATTAATTTTTATATTAATCTCTAAAAGTAAATTTTATTTTTTTCTTAATATTTTAATATCATCTTTTAAATTGTTAAATAAACTAAACTAATAATTAAAAAAATAAAAAATAAAATAAAAAAATATACGCAGTCTTCCAAAATATTTGTATTTAAAATATTTTTATAAACTCTAGAATTAATTCTGAAATTAAACAAAGCTGATTTTAATTTAATTTATAAGTTATCCTTTTGTTTTCCATAAAAATATCCTTTCTTTTTAGCCAACCCAATTTTGACTATTAAAGTAACAATTAATCCTGCATCATAAGTAATTTATTTTCTCATTTATAATCTTTTCAAAACCACAAAAGCTGTTTATTCTAAATTACTTTACTACAAAGTATTAGTAAGCGTTAATGTCATAATAGAAACAATTGACACACCCCACAAACACACAAAAAAACTAATAAACCTTCCCAAATTGGTAATAGCGAAATAATCCCCATATCCAACCGTACACATAGTAATAACAATATTCCAAAGAGAATTCAAATAACTATAAAATAACATTTTATCACTATTTCTAGCCAATGGAGCTTCACAAATTCTAACTGCATACCCGAAAAAAATAATCGATGTTATCATTGCAATAGCCAAAACAGTATAAGGCCTTTTCTAAATACTACATTTTATAACGAAAAGATAATCAGCCTCGCATGCGTACATGTTGCAGACCCTCTATGTTCTATTATTATACCTATAAGATATCATTAATAACGTTCTTATTATTAAAATTATCCTCAAAAGCATTATTAGGGACAATATTTCATTTACATGATAATAATATTCTTCGAATTTTTACGATTTTATATCATAATTATAACTATTTACCATATTTATACGTATATTCCATAACCAAGGTTATGGATGAATAGATGTTATTATTAATTCTATTAATAAGTATTTTATTAAACCTGATTGAAATAAAGTAAGGGGATAAGTGATTGATCTTTAGGCTTTAAACCAGTCCAATTTTGCAATATAACGGACTATTGTTAATAAAAGCATACATACAGTTAGAATTGTAGTTATATATAATAAAGGAATAGCATATTCAGGGTTTCTTTCGTTATATTCGAGATCGTATTCAATCATAACTATTAGAATTGAAAGAAAAGAAAAACAAGAAACGGCTATATCTATAAATAAATATCTATAAAAATATGCTTTGGTTAAACGGCCGTCCTCAAAGCCACCTTATTATTGTTTGGTTTGCGTTTGATTTATTATGCGTTTGAATTTAGATGATCTTTTGTATCTATTATTTGGGCTTTTTTCGCTATCTGATTGATATTCCTTGGATTCTTTAAGTGCAGACATTGAACCTTTTTAGATCAATGATTTCTTTTTTACTTTTTTTACTAGAGAAGTAGAACCTATTGATTGATTTTCATTGATGTAATCTTATTGCTTAAATAATAATTTTTTTTGCATATTTTATTAATTAGTGCTTGTCACAGTTAAAGGAGATTTAATATAATCAATTTTTTCAGAAGGAAATATATTGTCATTCCCTTATACTGGTGAAAAGTAACTTAATAATTAGTATTATTTTTAAGGAGAGTTATATAAATAATTACTATCTGTCATAATATTATTAATTTTTTTCTTCTTATCGATTATGTTTTTTTATATGTATATTTATAAATATTTAATTTGTAAATTAAATATGAAAAACTATTTAATATATATAAAAGTAAATATAATTTTTATTAAAATTTACTAAATTTTTATTAATAATTAAATACTATGGATTCTTGTTTTTTTTAATGTAAAAAATAATAATAAATTTTAATTAGTAAATCAAATATTTATTAATTCCAATTATTATTATATAATAAAATATAATTTTTTTAATTTATAATATTATATTAAATTTTTTATTAAATATACTTTATTTAAATCTATTTTTATTTTATACTTTCTTATAATATTTTATAAAAATATATTTAAAATTAATATTTCTTTTATAATTTCTATTTTTTAAAACTAAAATAATCTAATAAAAAATTAATTTTATATCTTATATATTAAACATATATTATAATACTTAAATGCTAAGTCTATAAATAAATATATAACAAATAATAACAATAAATAAAATTTAATAAAAAAAATATGTAAATAATAAAATACGAAGGATTCAATAAACTAAGTTTAAAATATACTACTCTTTAAAAAAAAAAATATATATTTTTTTGTTTAAATTAAACTAAAATTAAATTTTTGTATGAAAAAACTAATAATAATTAATTATAATGTAAAGTTATATTTAAAATAAACTTAAAATAAAAATGAAAATATTTCAATGAAAAAATTAAATTAATTAATTCATCATATGAACCCTTTTTTTTAAAAAAAAATCGAAATATAATAAGTTAATTTATAAGAAAGCAAGACTTATTAGTAAATTTAATATTTTAAAAAACAGAAAAGTAAAAAAATTAATAACTTAAAAATATATTCAAATTTTTAAATAATATTTATTTGAATATAAAACACAATATGGAAACTTTTTTAGTAATAATTTGCTTTATTGTTAAGTGTTTCCTAGAAATAAATATTATTAAATTTAATTAATTACTAAAGATTTTTTTTAACTAATATATTTAAAATTTTTGTAATAAAATAATTTATTAAAAAGTAAAAGAGATAAATATTTATTTTAAAAGTTTTTAATATTATAAAAATAATAAAAGAAAAATACTTTATTTAATTCATGTTTTTTTATTATAAATAAAATTTAAGTATTTTATGTATATGTAGAAAATAAAAAATAATTAATAAATTAAATAAATAAAATACAATATAATATATTAAAAGAAAAAATATTTATATATAAATATTTATAATATAAAAATATAATTATAAAACAATATAAGAGCAAAATAAATAAAGATAAATAATTTTATTTTTCTCTAAATTTTAAATAATATTAATAATAAAGTTAATAATATATTGTGATAAAAATAAATGAACTAAAATCAAAATATAAAAGCCTTAAAAGAACATTGTATTTATTGTTTCGATGTTTTAATCTCGCTTTTAAATAATAAAAAACCGCCTGTATATCCTTAAAATCTTCCTAAATATAAAGTTCCTTTATTTGTTACATGGCATATCAACCAAAATGATCTTAGAGGATGTATAGGAACATTTTCGCATAACCCAATAGATTAAATGTTAGGTTAATATGCTTAAATAAGTGCTTTCTAAGACGATAGATTCGATCCTATATCATTAAAAGAAATAGAAAAACTTTCAGTAGCAGTAAGTCTTTTAGTAAATTTTGAAGAAAACTTAAAAGCTTTTGATTGGGAAGTAGGAAAACATGGAATTATTATTAGTTTTAAAGATAATGAAAGAGAATACAATGGAACTTTTTTACCTGAAGTAGCCAAAGAATAAGGTTGGGATTAAAGGTTAACATTAGAATATTTAATAAAGAAAACAGGATGTAAAAATAAAAATATAGATGATATAATTCAAAAGATAAACTTAACAAGATATTAATCTTCTAAATTTGAATTAAGTTATAATGAATATATATAAAGATAATGAAAAATTAAAAAAAATAAAAATATTAAAATTGTATTTTTTTTAAAGGAAAATCATTATTATTATTTTTTAAATTCATAACGTTAAGTTTAAATATTATTCATGATTATTCGATCTTGTAAATTGTTTATTTTATTAACTAATTCTTCATATTCATAAGAATTATTTTATTCTTTTAAATTATCAAGTTTGTCAATAAAATTTTAATTTGCATTAATCATTTCATAAAAACTATAAATTTTGATAAAAATAAAATAGATATAATATTTATATATATATATATATATATATATATATATATATATATATATATATATATATATAAATTTATTAATTAATACTTTTTATTTTTATTTTATTAAGTATTTTGCTTTTTTTTTTTTATAAATCTTATATCTAAAATAAATGAACTTATTTTTTTTAAGCATCATTCACAATTGCATTTAAACCTTATGTATTTTTCTATTATTTATAATTCGTTATTCTATTTGATTAATTTTGCTAATAATCTTTGCTTTAATCGTTTTTGTAAATTTTATTTATAAGATTTATTTCTTCTTTTCTTGATAATATTTAAGTTTATTATTTCTTTTAATCAAGTAAAAAACCTCTTTACTTTTTTATTTATAATAATTTATTTAATGTTAATTTATCTTTAAGTAGTTTACAATTGCCTAAAAACTATACATATTTTTTTAAAAAATAATAAATCATTAGAATAAATATTACTTAGTTTAAATTTTTATCTGACCATAAATCTACTACATTCATTGTTCCTTTTGGCAATCCATCACTCATTTCTTCTATTACAGGTTTAATTAATTCATTATCAGATTTTTCAGTAAATTTAAATACAAATTTTGAAAATGTTTTCCTTTTATTTTTCATTATTGAAAATAAATCTAAATATTATTTTAATTTATTTTGTTATTCTTTCTTTTGCTTTTCTTATTTTTCTTTATTTACTACAGTCTTGCTTTTAAATGATCTTTAGAAAAAATCTTCCATAAGCCTTTAAGAATGTTTTTAATGTCGACTTTAATTTTCAGTTTATTAAATATTTTTTTATAAATTTCCCAAAGACTATATTTTTCCAACTAATTAAGATTTTTTTAAATAAAGATTAAAATCTTTTTCCTTTTTTTATTTAATAAAAAATTATATCTTTTTTTTTATTTAAACTTCTTAAAATAAATTCTATATGTTACTTTCTAATTTTGATAACTTTCTTTTTGATTAAGTATAATTTGTCATTTTATCATGTTAATCTTAAACATTTGATTGTTATGTATTTATATTTCTTTTTATAAATTAATCTATTTATATTTTATATTTCTTTAATAAATTATCTTCTTTCTTTTCTGATGATTTTGGTAAACTTTATGATAATTATTTAGAATAAACTGAATTTTATCTTACAACTTTTATTTAATTTTAATTTTTTAAATATAAATTTAATTATTTTAAATTAATATTTTATAAATTGACTTAATGTTTCAAGATTATATTGAGATTTCGAATTAATTTTTATATATTGTTATTTAAATATTGAATCCTTTTTTGAATTAATTTTTTAAAAAATTTTTGTGGATGTTATATAAAAATAACTATGTTTTAAAATAACATTATTTAATAAAAATAACTTTATAAGAAAAGTTTTAGTTTTTAGTTTAAAATAATTTGTTCATTATTTGTTTATTTCCTTTATTTTATCTAATTTATTTATTTATTTTATATCAATAAAAAAACATAAATTTAAAAAAAAAGCGAATATTAGATATTTTATTTTAAATAGTTTTTTATCTATATTTTATATATAAATTTATATATATAAATATATATAATTATTTATATATAAATTTTATTTATTAAAAAGATTATATTTTTTTTTTAAGTTATATAATATGATATAAATATTTAGATTAATTCAAATAATATTCTCTTATAATCTATCTTCTCAATTTACTAGAAAATAATTAAATTCTTCTTACTAATTATACAGGATAAAAATTTAGCAGCATATTATAATAATATAAATAAAAAAATTATTTTTATAGATAAAATAATATATAAATTTAAAATAAAAAACTTAATATAATTAAGTTAATTTTGAATTTTCAAAAAATCTAAAATATAAAATAAAAATAGTATTTTAAGCATAATTAAATGAAAAATATTCTAATTTAAAAACAAAGCATGAATAATAATTATAATGGCTATTTTTAATATATATATGTTAAAATATTAATTATATTATTAAATAAACAAGAAAAAGATTATATTATATATTTTTAAAATTAATATTTTAATATAAAAAAAATAGAATATTCATTTATTTGAAATTATTTTTGTGTAAAATTCCTTAAATTAAATAAGAGAGCAAGAAACAATTTAAATTAAAAGCTTTAGTATCAAAAATATTATAAAATTATAAAACAATATTAAATAATTAATTTTATTGTTCTAATTAAAATAAAAATACTTCAATATACAAATAGGTGTAATAAGGACCTTATTTTAGTACTCTTCCTTTTATTTATAAACATAAATATGAAAATTATATCGCTAATTTTCTTGTTCTATTCCTTATATATATACTAGTTTTGAGCATTATATATATATACTCTAAAATTTTTTTTTAAAAATACAATTATTATTAAATAAATGCATTATATAAACATAAATATGTTTAATAAAAAATAAATAAAGAATAATATAAATATAGCAAAAGCTAATTTTATAAATGAATATTAAGTAAAAAATAAAAAATAAAAAAACAGTAATAGTAACAAGCATTATACGGATATTATAAACATTTTATATTTTGAAACGATTAAAAAAAAAATGTAACAAAAATTCATTCTTCAATATTTTATAAGAAATAAGTAAGTTTAATAAAAAATTAAATTGATTATGTTATATAAATAGACATTCTAAGTTAAATTTTAATGCGATATTAATGGAAATTTATGTAAAATAAAAATGTGCTTTTATATATAGATTTTAATATAAAAATGAACAAAAGCAATAATTTAATAAAAACTTTTTTCCTAAAACTTTTGCTTTAAGAATAAAGTATTTTTTTATAGATAAATGCAATTATAAAAATAAAACAATAGAATGGGTACTGCTAGAGTTGTATATTTTCAAGAATTTTAAATTCCACTTTCTTATAAATTTTAATGTTATTTTTAAAGATTTAATTAATAATATTGATTATTATTTTTAATTAAGAAAGATAAATTTTAATTAGATGAATTTTTTTTTCAAAAAAAATAATAATAAATTAAATAAAATTTGATATTATTTAAAAAAATTTCGAATAGAATGAAGAAATTTTATAAACTGATTTTTAAATATAAAATAAATTTTAAAGAAAAATAAAAATAATAAATTTAAGAAGATAAAAATAACAAAACAATTAAATTTTGAAATTAAACTAAAAACTTAATAAAAAATAAAAAAAATATATAAAAATAAATAATGAATTAAAAAAAAATATAATAAATAAAATAAAGAATGAAATTTTATTTAAATAATTTATTATAAAATAAAAAAAATATATAATTAAAAAAATAAAATTGAAATTGGTAAAATAAATTACAAAAAATTATTAGAAAAATATAATAAATAAAAATTATATTTTAAGAAAAAAAAAATAGTAAAATATATTAAAAAAAAGATAAATAATATAATAATATATACTATATATATTAAAAAATTAATTAAAAAAAAAAAAAAAAATAATTAAAATAATTAATTAATATATTAACTAAAATTAGAAAAATAAATAAAAATGTATTATATTAAAAATAAAAGTTAATGAAAATTTTAAATTTTTTATAAATAAAAATAAAATTAAATTTATTTAAATTCTTTTATAAATTTTTTTTATTATATATGATTTAATATAAAAACAAAAATATATATATATAATAATAATAATAATAATAATAATAATAATAATAATAATAATTAATATAATTTTAATAATTTAATTATAAATATATATATAAATATATATATATATATATATATTTATATATATATATATATATTTTTTATTTTAATATTTTTTCTAGAAATATTAAAGTTTTCTATATTTTTTTAAAATTTTTTATATCTTATTATTAATAATTATTATAAATAATTTTTTTTTTTTATATATATTACTTTTTATTGTTAATATTTTATTTTATTAAATCCTTTATTTTTATTATATAAAATAAATCGATTTTTTTATTTTTCTATTAGATTTTTTATATTAAATTAATTAAATAAATTTTTTTATATATAATTAATTATTTCAATATAAAATACTACATTTTTTTTTAAAAAAATTATAATATAAATAACAATTCAATATATTTTTTTAATTAATATAAAATATCATTTTATAATATTATATCAATGAATAATGATTTTTTTTTAAATAAAATAACTATTTTTTTTTTTAATGAATATAAATATTGATTTACTTTTAGCTTTTAAATAATTTTGAAAGTTTTTGTTTTATTATTTTATTTTTAATAATTAATTTTTATATAAAATAATGCAAAATACATTTATATTTATACATATTGGATTATTTTAGTAATTATTATAATATAAATCTAAATCTTTTATAATATTATTTGAATAATTCTTTATTTTTCGAATATTTTTATTATAGTTTTTTTTATAAAAAAAAAAAAAAAAATGGGTAACTTGTTATGCATAAAAAATGAAAACGAATATTAAGGCAGATAATTAAAAATCTAGACTTCAATAATTGAATTAGAAAATGATGATGAATTAATATATCCGTCTAAACAAAACAGTAATATTTCATTAGATTCTTTTGTTATTTTAAGAGTAAAAATAAATATGAATTTATATATTTTTTAAAAATAAAATAAAAAAAGAATATAGGATAAGGTTCATTTGCAAAAGTTTATTTAGTTTAAAATATACGTTCATGTAAAAAATAAAATATTTAAAAATCAAAATAAAAAAAAATATATAGAAAAGATACATGCAATGAAAGTATATAATAAATAACACTTAAAGCATTAAAATATAATTTTAAAAAGCTTAATGGAAAGAAACATACTAAAAAATAATACTTCTCCATTTATAGTTACATTATATTATGCGTTTTAAGCAAAATAAAACTTGTATTTGATAACTGAACTTGTGTTTGGAGGAGATTTATACAGACATTTATAAAAATTCCAAAAATTCGATGAAGAAAAAGTAACTTTTTATGCTTCTTAAATCGTAATGGCTTTAGAATGTTTACATTAATAAAATATTATATATAGAGATTTAAAATTGGAAAATATTTTACTTGAAATAGACGGTTATATAAAGCTAACAGATTTTGGTTTATCTAAAGATTAAATCAAAAGTTTATTATATATATTTATATTTTTTAAAAAAAATAAATAAATAATAAAGATAATGATTTAACTTATACCTTTTGTGGTACTCCTGAATATATGGCACCTGAATAAATAAATAATAATGGACATAATAAGATGTGTGATTTTTGGCAACTAGTAATATTTTTTTTTTTTTTATATAAAAATTAAAATTAAAAAAAAGGGAATTTTAATATATGAATTGCTTTGTGGAAAAACACCTTTTTGGTCAAGTGAAAATAGATACAAAAAAGATTAAATATATATAAATATTTTAAATGGGAAATATCAATTTCCTCATCATTTGTCTGAAAATGCTAAAAATATAATTTATTTTTTACTATAGACTGATTTTAAGAAAAGGTTAGGGTATAATGGGTTTTAAGAAATTAAAAATCATCCTTTTTTTTAGAATATAGATTGGGATTTAATATATAAAAAGTAAATTAAAGCGCCTTATATTCCTCCTATGAGAGGACCAATTGATCTTCAGAATTTTAATCCAGTATTTTGTTATTATATTTATTTTTACTTATTTAAGTTTTTTAATTTAATTGTATATTATACTTTATTTAAGTTTTTTTTTTGTTTAAAATAAGATAAAATATTTTTATATATTTATTTTTTAATTAGAAATATATAAAAAATAACGAATATGAAATTTAAGATGAAACTACTTTTAAAAATATTGATGATGAATATTATTAAGGATTTTCTTATTCTAAAAGTAAGAATTTAGAGGTATGAATTTCATTTTTTTTTAAACTATTATATAAATTTAATTTCTTTCTATTTTATTTTTAAAGAAAATTATAAATAATATATATTAAATAAAATAGAACTTGTAATTAAAATATATATTTATATTATATAAAATATACCTATTCTTTTCCCTAATTCAGCAATTTATAAAAAAAAAAAATACAAATAATACAAAAAATACAAAAAAAAGGAAAATATCCTTAACAAAAAAATATAAATATATATAATTTAATTAAAATAAAAATAATGAATACAGGAAATCCATAAAACCAAACAAATCATTTATAAAATATAACCCAATTAATGCAATAACAGATAGCAAATTTACTCCAACAACACCCATAAGCTGCCCAAAAATAATAATAATAAAAAAAACTACCAGTATTTAAATATATCCAAAAAGAAATAAATAATCCAACTGACTTTCAAAGGTAATATTAGTAAATTTTTAAGACCACATTTTTAAAATGGGATGAATGCTCATAATGCCTTTAATAATATAAATCTTATATTCATCAATAAGAGTCATTCGGTTAAGCAAAGCCTTATAAATAATGTGAAAAATGCATTTAATAATTTAAAAATTTAGAATAGTAACTTTACGCACATATATTCTAGAAAAGTGATGAGAATTAAATAAAAGAAAGCCTACAAAAATTAAAATCTATTGGGGGAAATTTAAAGGTGTATTGCGGAAAAATTCTAAAAAAAAACGACATCGGATTTAAATGCTTCGACTGTGAAATGGACCCCACATGCATTATTTGTTAGGAATGTTTCGAAAAAGGGAACCATATAGGTCATAGAACTATTTTATAAAAAGGATGTTCCGGATGCTGTGATTGTGGGGATGTTGAAGCGTGGAAAAAGGAAGGTTTCTGTTAAAATCATTAAGGTTTTTTAAACGAAAGTCAGATTTCGGTCGAGTAAATAGACGAAGGGGTTAGAGAGAGAATAAAAGAGGGTTTTTTAGTGATTTTTTATGAAGTTTTGAGCTAAGTGGAGGTTTATTTGGAAAAAAAACAAAGCGAAGAATTTCTTTTTAATGTTTATTTGTAGAAATTAATAAATTTTATTTTTGAGTTTATGGAAAATATTTCTGAAAAAAATCCTATTTTGTAAAATCTTATTAATTAATTACTAAATACAAACTCTTTTTTCCCTGAAAATTAATTCACTTTTGTCCATATATGCGAAGATATTATTAATATAGGAAAAGCCTAATAAGAAGAAAGAAAGTGCTTCTGTAGTATTATGGAAATGCTTTTGAGATATATAACTTTTTTTAATTCCGATAATTAAAAAAAAATTAAAAATTTTTTCATATCTTTATTTAATATTTACTAGTTTAAATAAAATTTTATAAAAGCTTATACTAAGATGTACTTTTTCTTTTTTTTAAGAAGCCAAAATGATTCGTGTGTTTTTTTAGAAAATTCAAAGTTTTAAGATATTAGTGTTTAGTTGTTTACTTCTGATATTTTATCGAAATTTGCTATCAATTGTAAAGTTGAAGAAAATCTTATTTAAATTAAAGGGAGCCCAAAGGAGTTTTATTTTGAAATTTTTTTAATAAACTGGAAGAAATTACTTAAAAAATAGAAGAGAAGTACGAGGAAAATATTGAAGTGAGTTATTTAAATGCATTCTATCATATAAAATATATTTCTTAGAAAAATATTAGCTTAGAAACAATGATTGAAAAGGATATTTTTTAATAAAAAATAATTCTTTTATTATAAAAAATACACTTTTTTATCAAATTTAAGAATATTAAAGAATACGATCTTTAAAACTAAGAAATTAAAGAAAAACAAATACTTGCAGGTTTAGAAATAGAGAGTTAAATTTTAAAAATATTTAAATGTATAATCGGATTTTTAAATTAACAATAAAATAAAGTTAAAAGAGATGATTTTCACATATATATGATTAAAAGTATAATTTAAAAAATAAATGAAAACGAACATTTATTTAATCAAAAATAAATGCAATTTAATTCCATTCATATTCCTTTACATAGAGTTCTAGTTAGTTTTTTACTTTCATATTTTTAATTTGATTTTAATAATGTTACTTAAGATAAAATTTAATTCCTTGAACAACAAACCTCTTTTAATTTCTCCAATTTTTTTAAAACTTAAATTAAATACCCTTTAAGAGTTATTAATTTTATTAAAGTAAATTTTAAATAAATAACCATTTATTTTAATTATACATATATGTATATTTTATTTTAAAATAATATACATTTATAAAGGAAATTGAGTGTGGATTATGGAATTTTCATGGATAATGCTTTTAAGTATAATCATATTACTATGCATTTTAGGAACCTGGATTATAAATGTATGATTCATTATTTATTTGCTTTGCTTTAAAAATATGTGATAACAATATAGGATATTAATAAATAATAGAAAGCTTTTCTAACAACGATGTATTTAAGAAAATAATTAATAATCAAGCAAATCAAATAAAGAAGAAAAAAAGTATTTAAATTCCTTAATAATATAAGGTTTTTTCTGAATTAATATCTTATCTATGTTTCATATCTTTTGATTAAATCAATGTTTTTAATTTCTCTTATTAAATGCTAGGAGATAAATCTGGGGAAATAGACTTTTCTTTAACAAATAAATTCTTATCGTCATATATAAACTTAAATTTAAAAGAAGTAAAAGCTCAATAAGCATAAACAGAATTAAAAGATTATTTAAATAAAAACATTGATATTGTTAAATAATTATCATAAATTGCTGATTTTTCAAATTAAACGAAAAAATTTATAATAAAGAATGAATTTGCGACTTAATTTGAACCTTTCTTCTTTTTTTGGCTGCCTTAAATAAAGGCTAAAAGTTAAGAGAATATTTTCTTTTAGAAAAATAAAGTAATTAAATATAAAATTATATATATTTTATTTTTTATAAACAAAAAAAAAAGTCAATTGAAAAAACAGCTTTTCTTTTAGGAAATATATAATTAGAAAATTAAAATAAACAATTTATTTAAAATATTATTACGTTTCCTTTCTTTTAATTTTTAGAGTAAATAATTAATAATATAACTGTAGATAATAATAAAATTCTCCAGAACTTCCTTATATATCCTATTTTGAAATTAATTAAAATTTACTAATAAATATATAATAATAATGAGGATATAATCAAATAAAAGACAAAAAAGGAAAACTTGAAAATCCTATTTTAAACATATTAAATATATTAATATAAAAAAAGACATTATTTTAAGTCGAGATAAATGATTCGATTAATAATTTATTAAATTAAGAAAAAGAAAAAGTGTAAAAATTAATATTAGAAGAAGAAAATTAAGAAAATATAGACGAAGAAGAAGAAGATTAAACTATAGACATCCGAAAATTAAAATAGAAAGAAAGACAAAGAGAAATTCTTGAAAAATATGAATAAAGATCTATAAGCTTTTCTAAAAAAAACAAAGACTAAATTTCTTAATTTTTAGAATAAGAAAATTCTTCAGCAAAAAATGAAAATTTATAAGAATGCATTATTTGCAAAAAAGAAATTCAAGAAAATGAAAAAGTGGGTATAGCAGTATTTTTAACAAAAACAAATATATATGAATTCTAAGAAAATAATCATTAAGTAGAAAAATATAAAGGAAATTGGATTGGAAATACATGTAAACATATTATGCATAAAGAATGTTTTGAGGAATATCTAAGAATTAAAAATAAAAAAGATTACCATAATTAATCAGAACTATAAGCAGAATATAATTGTCCTTAATGTAAAAAACTTTCAAATGTATTCATTTTAATACATTAATATAAATAAATATTTGAATAAAATAATAATAATAATAATAATAATAATAATAATAATAATAATAATAATAATAATAACATATAATATAGTAATAATAGTAGTCCAAATAAAATTATCGAAGAAGAACTAAAAATACCATTAAGCAATTTAGAAACTGAAACATTTTATAAAAAACAAAAACTTAATACTACAGATATTATTCTATAAGATATCGACTACTAAAAATACATACATTTCTAAGACTAGATTGTAACCCTTTAAGTTTTACTTTAACCTGAAGAATTCGAGGAAGAATATAATTAATAAAAACTATATTTTCAATAAACCAAAATAGAAAATGAAATAAATAGCCTAGAATAATTTGAAGACATAATTTTAAATTAAATAAGAATTTTCGATTTTAATAATTGCGGGAATAGTTTCTTAGTTAATAAAAACAAGCTTTTTCTATATAGATAATTTTTAATTTAGCAAAAAATTGGTTTTTTATTTGCTTTTAAAAATGATCAAAATACCTATAATGCATTTATTCAAAAAAAATCAAGTTTTTTGACGTTTTTCGATTAAATGATGGATAATTATTAAATTGAAGATAAAAACTATTTTTTAGAAGGCAATATAAAAGAACTATACACTTAATATTTATTTTATTAATTTTCATTTTTCCTTAATACATCTTAATATATCGTTTTAATTAAATAAACAATACTTAAAGTAATTTAAGTCAAATTAATCCAAGTTTAAATTTCAAAAGGAGAGTTTTAAGCAAATAAAATACTCTAATTTTTCGACTAAGAGGAATACTGCAGACTTATAATAGATATTATATATCGAGTATGTAATTTATTAACTCTGTTCATTGATTTGTCACCTGAATAAGCTTCTTTTATAAACGAAATATACTCTTCTTATTAAAAAGAATTAAGAGTAATACTAAAAAATTTATTTTAGATTAAAAATTTAGAATTAAATAAAGAATATATAATAAACTTAAACAATTAAGTCGAATTATTATCTATTGAGAAATTATAAGAAAATAAAAATATAAAAAAAGCAGCAAATTCACCAACTTTTAATTTCGTTTAATTAGAAAAAACTTACAATGACTAATTTTAAAAATACTAAAATATAAAATGCGAAATATGTAATAATTTCTCTAAATTAGGAAACCTCTCATTATGTTTAATTTGTGGTAAAACTATTTGCTCAATATCTTGTACTACTTTAGAAAAAAATGGACATTAAGGAAATCTTAATTAACATAGTTTGCAATTTCATTGTGGAAATTCAGTTTATTTAGATTTAATTAGCAGTTAGTTGATTTTGGTGGCCTCTCCACATAATTTTAAAGATAAGGAATTATATACAGATAGTTTTGATAGACCTTTTTAGTAAAAAGCAAATGATTGGAATAAATTTAAAATAAACAAATTAGAGTTAAATAAAGCTTTTGGACATGTTTTGGAAAATACTTTAGCTTAATGGATTTAGTAATTAGAATAGGCATAAAATATAAAATATAATTTATAAGTTTACTGAATTTTTTATTATAAAAAGTTAATTCTATTTTAAATAATATACAAATGTTAAATAAAATAATAATTTTATTTTAATAAAACAAATGATTATTTTTATAAAAGAAAAAAAAAATTTAAAGATTAATATATAAATATTAATATAAAAATTAAATATATATATAAATATATATATATATATATATATATATATATATATATATATATTTATATATATTTTATTTTTTCCAATTATTATTCTTTTTTTTATTTAATCAATTTTTATTTTATCCAAAATTTACTTATTATGATTATTATATAGGAAATTATTATTATTGTCCTAAATTACCCTAGTTTCCTTAAATAAATATCTAATTAAATTATTATTATGTATTTTAAGCATATCCTTATTATTATTATTCATATCCTTATTATTATTATGCATATACTTACTGATTATATTGTTAATTATTTTATTAATTAAATTATTATAACCCACCAACAGGAGGTTTTCCATTAACATATTAAGGTTATTAACCATTAGGAGGTTGTCCTCCAACAAATTGAGGGAAACCACTTACTGGAGGTTGTCCTCCAACAAATTAAGGCAATCCACCAACAGGGGGTTGTCCACCAACAAATGGAGGTAATCCTCCGCCGACAATAGGTTAATTTCCTGCTACAGGAGGCAAAGGGTGTTGATATTCATTAAGATATCCCCCTTAATTTAATAAATTAACACCAAACTGCATCGCATTATTACCAACTTAATTAACTGGAAGTTAAAATTAGCTCATATTGACCTGTTGCGGTTCTTAAGGTTTAATTCCTTAAGAACACATATATTTAACTAATTAATCAGGCACCTCAGCTAGAACTTCTTTTGCTAAAATAGCAGGATTTCCCTAAAAATTTCTAAAAGGAACAAATTAAACAATATCTCTAGTAGCTTTTCTCCCCTTAGAATCGGTCAAAATACATCCATCACCATCTAATTTATTCATATTTGTAAAATCAGCACTTCCAACACCTACAATAATAACCGAAAGTGGTTAATCAGAGCCTAAAACTAGTGAATTTATAGTATCTTACATATCATGTATTTCCCCATCTGTAATAATTAGTAAAACAGTATAAATTTAAGAACCTTATTATTTGCATGCATATGTTACTTTCAATGTTTCTTATAATAAAGGATTAAAAAGGGTGGGACCACTCAAACTAACATTTTATAAAGCATATTAGTATAAATTTAGCATTTCTGACATTCCACAAGCTTCAACATCTGAGGGATTTCCACTTAAAGGAAAACAATGAGAAACACCATTTAAAAACATATTAGGAAACTTAGGATGGCCTCCAAAACCAAAACATGGAACTCTTTTATCAAAATCATAATCAAGTAATATTTCTCCTACTGATATTATTGCTTATTAATATTAGTTTAAACAATTTTGTTATAAGAAATGTAATCTTTATATATATCAGATATATATAAATATATATACACATAAATATATATTTATATTATTTATTTATTTATATATTTATATATTTATATATTTATAAATATTAATATATATAATTTATTTACGATTATGGTGTTGATACAGATCCATTTGAGGCTGTAAAATCAACTGCTAAAATAACATTAAGTTAAGTATTTCCCTTTATATAATCTAAAAAGCTAGGTCTTTATTATAATTAAAAATTCATAAGTACTAATTTACCTCTTTTTTTTTTTTCTTATCAATTAACTCAAATTCTCTTTTACCATATACAAGTTCGTTCATATTAAATTAAGTTTCACCAATAAATTAGAAAACTTAGCTTTTTTCCCAATCCCAGCATTCTACTTTAATAGGTCTAAAAGTGTCTCCATTATATAATATCTATCCACTTATTTCAAACGGTCTCCATACTGGGTTTAAATTTTCCATTATAACTTCTGTTTCATGACATAAAATTTCGTTTTTATCTTCCCTAACTCTTTTAAATCTTAAAAAAGGGTCGCTTTTACTAAACCAACCATCTGTATTGGCTAATTTTATCCCTTTCCATTACATAAAAATATAGTCTCGGCATTCTTCTTATGCCTCACTTAATATTACTATATTTCCAGTTACTTAGTTATTTTTTGCTTTTAGTTAAGATATATAAACATTGTTTTTAGATCCGACTATAGCACCTATTGTAGTAAAACACTCACCAACAAAATCGAAACTATTTCCTCCATCATCATCTAATACTTCGAATTTACATTCTTGTTTTATTTCGAATACATAATCGACTATAAATGTCTTTTTAAAGTTTGGATTTAGATTATCTTAGATTACTTCTGTTTAGCCGATTCGTATCCATTTTAGGTTAAGAGGTCTTTTAAGCAAAAAACTACTTAAGCATCTGTTTTGGAAAAATAATCAAGATTTTTTAATTTCCGACAACTTATAGATAATTCAATCTTTTTAAAGTTCTGCTCTTAAAGGTTTAATTACATTTTTTAAAAATTATTATTTTATGTTTTTTTTTTTTCAATATTATATTGTATATATTGTTTATATATCCTAGAATATAATATTCTCAATTATTTAAATATAATTAATGTATTATATAGAAATTAACTTTTTTAATTATTATTTTTTAAATAATTCAAGTTATTTCTTTATAATAAATAAAATATTTAATATGAATAAGTCAAATAATTTTTTAAATAGTAATATAAAAATAATTATTATTATTAATATTTTATTTTATTAAAAATAAAAATCTAATTGTCATTAAAAAAGTAAAATATTTATTAATTAAATAAATCAAGTTTTAAATTTTTAATTGAATAAGAAATATATTATAAAAAATATAAAATAGTTTGATATAAACATATAAAACTTACTTATGCATTAGAAAAATATAGAAAAATTATAATTGTAAAATTATTATTAATTTTTTATTTTTTAAATATAATTAAATATTATATGATTTAATATTTATTAAATAAAAAGTTTATTTTAAAAAAAATGTAAAATTATTATTATTTAACTTTATAATTTTATCATATATAATAAAATATTATTATTAATAGGAATTATATTTTTTTTTCGAATAATAACAAAAAACTATAAAGTTTATTATAAACAAATATATAATTTTATATTTAAAAAATAAAAAAATTAAAAATAAAGTATATATAAAATAAAATGATATTAATTTTTTTCTAATTATAATTAGTAATAATGACATTTTTATAAAAAATTCATAAAAAAAAAAAAAATATTGAATTATAAATTACTTTGATTAATTTTTATTTATATTCATAATTTATCTATTATTAATTTTATAATAAATAGAAATTTTAAGTTATAAAATAACCTATTATTATAGAAGAGAAAAAAAAAAACAAACAACGCATATATATTTTATATATAATTATATTATTTATAAATATAAATACATAAATAATATTAAGAAAAAATGGAATAGAATGAATAACTTTAATTGTTTTTAAAGTCAGTATGGAAACTCTTAGATTTAAATGTATGCGAAAATAAAGAAACTTTATTAAATGAAGAAGATGACTAGTTTTATAATTAATTGTAATAACAATTATAAGATATATAATAAAAATTATAAAATGACATGTAAAAAATTAAAATTAAAATAAAAAAATTTAAAATATAAAATAAAAAATTAAGTTGCGAAATTGATAAGCTAAATGAATATAAATTTGATAAATAAAATGAAGAAATTTAGTAAATAAATGAATAATTAGAATATTTAGAATAATAAAATTAAGAAATAAAAAATACAATATAATAAGAAGAAGAAGAAAATGCACAAATGTGCAATTTATTTACTGAAAGTGAATTATAAAATTACTAAAATATTCATTTATTATAAGAACTAGAAATATAATTTTTAGAATAAAGTAAATATTAATAAAAAAATGAAGAAATGGAATATTAAACTAAACTTTTAAGAGAAAAATAATTTTAGCTTTTAAAAGAAAGCAATATGTATTAATATTAAATATAAGATTAAAATAATAAAATTAATAAATTAACAAAAGAACTCTCAAATATTGACAATTAATATAATTTGTTTTCAAATAAATACACTGAAATTAAATAAAAACACGAAAATTAATAAATTTTAAACAAAAATATTTAAAATAAAATTCGAAATTTGAAAAAATCTATAATTGAAATAGAAAACGAAAATATTTTTTTCCAAAAAAATAAAGAAATACTTTAATATTAAATTGAAAGTATTATTTAAGATTCCTCATAAAATAAAACTGGATAAATGGACTAAACATACAAATATAAAAATGAATTAAATGGACTATGTAAATCTTTAAAAGATGAAATAGGAGAATAGTTTAATGATAATTTTTAATGTGAAATTATAACTTAATGGTGATAGCTATAATATTATTTAAAGTAAGTAATTTTTTCATTTTATATAAATAATGAATTAAATTATTTGAGATAATAAAATTGAAATAGCAATAATATTTTTATGATTTTACATTATATTATATTATTTTCTTTTTTTTTAAATTTATTTTAAAAATGCATATTTTGCATTATTCTTTAAAAAAAATAAAGATAAATATACACAAGTGTTTTTTATATTAAATTTAAAAAATAAATATATTATATTAAATATTTATTATTCTTATAGTATTATTAAATTAAATAAAATGCAAAGATAAATAAATATTTATATTGATATTATTATTTTTTCGTTTTTAAAATTATATATATATATATATATATATATGCAAAATTATAATTATTTTATATTATATTATTTTTTTAATGTATAATATTTTAATGTATATCTATATTGTTTTTAAAATTATATCTATAATAAAATAAATTGAATTATTTAAATATTATTAATAGATAAATACAAATAATTATTATTAAATAAAAATATTCATATATTTTATTTAAAATTATTTTAATTTTATAATTAAAATCCTTATATTAATAATTATATAGAATTTATAGATATATATTATTAATATAATTTATAAGTCCATATATTTAATTATAATAAAATTTTAAAACAGCTTTTCATTTAATAAAGTAATAATTTATTTTGATTTATTAAATATAAATCCGCATTTATGTATTTAATTATAAACAAATTAGATTAAAATAAATTAAAGATATGAAATAAAAATAATTTATTTATTTTTTGATAAAATATTTTTCTTTTTTAATTAAAAAAAAAAAAATATAAAATATTAATAACTACAAAATAAAAAAAAGCATAAATAAATATGATATTTGGGTATTTTTTTTTTTTAAAAAAAATACAATAAAAAATAATAAAATATACATATTTAAAAAAATTAAAGTTAATTTTGGAATCATTTTGGATTTTTGGGTGGCAATTCTTAAAATTTAGACAAACTTTTTAAAGACAATGAATTAACAGTAGAGAAATTTTTAGATTAAGAAAACATTGTATTTGACATAAAATAAAATTCCAATAAATTTTACAATTAGTAAATAAAACCTTAATAATATAAAATAAACTCATATAAAATAGTATAAAAGAAAACAAAGAATTTTTAAAATAATTGATAAATTATGCTATATAAATGCCTGATAAAACTTCAGAAGATGAAAAAATATTATATAAAGTAAAAAAAAAAAAAAAGTACATTAAAATTAAAAATAAAAAAGATATCCATTTGTTTCTAGTGAAATATTAGGTGTATAAATAAGAACTTTAGAAAATTTATATTTTGAAATCCAATAAGAACTTGACGAATCTTCCGAAATCGAAAAAGAACCAAAAAATGAAAACGAAAATGAAAATGAAAATGAAAATGAAAATGAAAACGAAAATGAAAACAAAAAAAAAACACAAGAAAATAAAGAAATTGAAGAAAATATTTAAAAAACTGAACCAAAATATCAGTTAATTGAATAAATATTCTAATTTATTGAAAATAAAGAAGATTTAGATGACACTTTATCAGGATATTTTGGAAAAGTTTTAAATAATGTATTTACACCAAGGGGAAATGTAAAAAAAATATATTTTTTATTTTTTTTAATAAAAAAACAATTCAAAAAAAAAAAAAAAAAAAAGTTCTTTAAATATATTTCTTCAAATAATAAAACAGAAATCTTAAATAATTTCGTAAAACATGTTTAAGTTAGAAGTATTGCAAATTAATTATAGAAATTACTTTTAAATGTCGGCAATGAAAATAATAATAATAATATAGATGAATTTTCCAATTAAAGATAATATTTGTTAGATTTATTAATAACTGATTTAAAAATAGGCAATAATTTACAAAAAATAAGCATTTCTTCTCTACTTATTGAAGTCTTGAATAATATTCTTGAAGAAATAAATTTCTAAAGAACAAGTACTGTACTTTAAACTGTGGAAGGATATATTTTTGAAGGTAATACAATAAAGGATTTGATAGAAGTTCTTTTAAATACCCAAGATGGATAGGTTTAGAGCAAAGTTTCGACTGTTTTGGGATTAATTGTGGTTGTTTATAATAAAAAATATTAAAATAAACTAAGTAAAGAATCAGAAAACTAAGAAAATAATTAATAATAAGAATAATAATAAGAATTATATGGATTAAATAATTTTATGGATTCAGTTGATAGAATAATATAGATTCTTTAAAATTAATCGAATTCTGGAAAAAGAAAAAATTAAAATGGAGAGGAAAATTAAGTTTTTGGAATGGGTAAAATTAAAGTTGTAGATTTAATTTCTCATATTTTTAAATCTAATTAATTACTTTTGATTGAAAAATTCTGTGAAAAAGGATTAATTAAATTATTATTAGTATATTTATATATATATATTACTTGTTTATATTTATTTATAAAATAAAAAAAAATAGTAATTAATGATAAATAATAAATGGAGTAATATTTTACATATTCTTATTGATAAAATAATTAGTGAGTGTTTAAATTTATTTTTTAATAATAAATCTTAAGTAATTGAAAACGCTTTGTTTGTTTAATTTAATTTCTTAGATAAAATTGCTGAAAATTTAACTAATGAAGTCTATAAAAGCAAGTGAAAAATTTATTTAATTTAACACATATATATATATATATATATATATATATATATATATATATATATTTAAAATCATAAATAAAAGAAAAGGATATGTTGGATTTTTAATTAATTTCAGTAAGAAAATTTAAGAAAATGATAATTGTGAAAAATTGAAAATTTATAAAAATTAAAACGAAAATTGGAAAAATTTCATAAATACATTATATTAGGATATTTGTTAAATTTAAAATTAAGATTTGGGGGGTGAAGACCCTAAAAAAAGGAAAAGTGAAGAAAATTACGATGATATTAGTAAATATGAAATCGATATTTAGAAAATTTACGAAGTATCATTCTATTTATTTATTATTATTTTTTTTTCTCTAAAAATGTATTTTATATTAAAAGAAATTCAATTAGTATTTGAAAATTTAAAAATAACAAAATTAATAAAATGAAAATAATGAAAATGTAGAAGAAGTAATAAATGAAAAAGAAATGCATGATGACTTTGATTAAGAAGATTTTTGTTAATAAAATTAAAATGATAATATTATGGAAGCTTAAAAAATACTTTTAAATAACGAAGAAAATTAAGATAAGTAATTTTTGATTATTATTTTATATTTATTTAATTTCTTTAATATGTTTTGTTTATGTTAACTAGGGAACATTTTATTGAAGGAGAAGTTAAAAGTGAATTTTTAAATCATAATTTTTGGGCTATTTAATAAAACCATAATATTGAAAGCTTAATAAACGATCTTTGATTTATTTAATAAAATAATTCTATTTTTTTATCTTTTTTTAATTTAATATAATAATATTAATTTTATACAAATTTTTATTTTTATTTTTTAAAAAAAAAATTACAATAAATAATAATTTTGAATTAAAAACAATAAAAAAAGTTTTCAAAAATAATTAATGAAAACAAAATATAAAAATATTACTAATAATCTTAAAAATAAAAAAATAATATTTAATTTTTAATTAACAAAAAACTAATATATAAAAAGTAAAGATTATTAATTTATTAAAAACATAAAAAAATTAAATTTTATTTTTATTAATTATATTTATTTTTTACAAAAAATTAGAAAAAAAAAAAAAAAAAACTGAAAGAAAAGAAAATTAATATTCAATTAATAGACTATAAAAATTTATAAGTTTTATTTTCCAAACTAAACTCACATTTTTTATATTTTAAACATTTTTCGAAATATTTTTTAGCATTTTGTTATTATTTATTTTAAAAATAACATCTACCAATCAAATGATAAGCATGATGTAATAAATAAAAATGATTCGAAGGTATCTTTTTTTTATTTTTTAAATATCTTTTTCAATTTAAAATACTTAATTATAATTTTTTTTCAAGCAACCGCATATAATTTTCAATAAATAATTACTTGAAATATTAATAATATCATTATCTTAATTAGAAATAATATTCTCATACTATTAATCTGTATCATTAAAAAATCTTTATAAAGTACTTTCACTTAATTTAGTTATTTCTCTTAAAAAATACAAAATTTCATACTTTATAAATTATTTATTTTTCCTAAGCAAATATTTTATACATAACTTCATAATATCATCATCAATATTAGATTTTTCGTTATTATATTTCTATTTTTATTTTTAACATTAAAAAAATAAAAAATAAAATGAAAATAACTTTATTAATATAAATAGTCATCAAAAACCATAAAATCATATCATTTTCTGAATTCTTTTCTAAATAACAGCACCCTAATAATACACAAATGCAACTTTTATGAGGTAGAAAAAGCATTACTTAGGTTTTTTATTTACTTAAAGAAACCAGTTTATTCAATTGAGAAAAATCCAAATTATTAAATTTCTTATTCAAAGCAATCTTTTCAAATAAATTAAAATCAAACTAAAAAAAATCCAATGAAAAAACAGCAATTTCTTCAAAATATTTTATACCTTCATCCCAATCAAATTTTGATATATAAAACCATCCTTTTTCAAATTTTAAATAATATGCAGTATCTTATATTTTTTTTCCACAAAATAATAAAGCTTTATTTATTAAAATAATAGCGTCATCAGGCTTTTTATAATATAAATAAAAATATGGATTTAAAAAAAATATAAATATATATATAATTATATAAATATATATATATATATATATATATATAAATATATATATATATATATATTTATATATATATTTACTTTGGAATACCTCCAAGATAATAGAGACGCCATCCAATAAAAAAAAGGACATTAAGGTAAACTTCTAAGCATTTTTTTAATAATTTAAATTGACTTTTCCAAATCATGATTTAACTCTACATATTCAACTGCCAAAAAAAATGATGCATAATTTGACCTAATAGATTTCTAATTAATACATAATTCGAGATGCTCATAGCCGATTTTCTTATTATGCTAGATTCCAATAAAATTAAGAACTTTTAAAAAATGAGGCGGGATCATATTTAAGCCGATATTGATTATTCCTGAAATAAAAAAAAATCTATTTTAAGAGTATATATCGAAAATAGTATTAATTTTTTTTTTATTTTCATCAATTTTAATTTTGACTTTTTAGAAAGACAAATAAGCATTTTTAAAACAAAAAAAAGCCTAAAATTTATTCTGACTTAAAAATTCTAAAAGGCCTTTCATTATTAAACTTTCTGCTTTCAATAAATATAAAGAATAAACTTTTAATTTTTTTTTTTTTTTTTCTTTTTATTTTATATTTTTTTATATATAAATAATCATATCTTCGAATTTTTGTAATGTTTTATAAATCAAATATTTATCTCCAGATATTAATATTTACATTATGTCAGGTTCTAAAATTGCGTATTCGAAATTTATGTTTTTTTCTTTATATATACTGAATATTTTAATTGCTTTTTAAAATTAAAACTACCATAAATAATTATATCCCTTTTCAAAGCATTCCTCTATTGTTAACTTTTGCTTTTTTTCTTCTTAGAAATATTCTTCTAAAATACTATTTCTTTGTGTCATTTTTTATTCTTCATATTCCTGTATTTTGTATAGTATTTTATTTTCATTTTTTTGAGTATTTTATTATTTTATTTTTACAAGTTTTTCTTATAACTTTTTATCTAATAAAACTTCTATATTTTCTTCTAAATCTATTATAATATTAGTATCTTTCGGAATTTCTACATTTTTCTTTTACGCATTATTAAAATTAGTATTATCATTAAAAAAATTCATATTATTTTATTAAAAAATATGTTTATTATTTTAAAAAATATAATCGTTTTCTTAATAAGCTTAATTATTTTCTTAACAAATCTACATATTTTCTAAACTTGTATTATAATTTTTAATTTCTTAAATTTTTTCTTAGTTTTTTAAAATAAGTTCACCAGTAGTACATTTAGAATTAAAATTTGAGTCTCTTTTTCGTTAAATTTCACTAAGATTCCATTCATTTTTAAATAGTAGAAAGTGAATTTTCTATATATAATTATTCGCTTTTTTAATCAAAATCAAAATGTTTAGCATTATCACTTTTAGTACTAAAATAAATAATTTATGTTTTTTCTTTATAATTTCCCTATTTAATATCTTATAATGAAGGTTTGGTTAAGCAAATACCTCTATTTAAAAGTATATTGTTTTTTAAATTTTGAAATCTAAACTCGTTTTCTTAAGGTTCATTTGCAATATTAATTTCTTCATCTTTAGAAAATTCTAATTCTATCTTATTTTTTTCATCTAAAATAATATTTTCTTTTTATTTTTTATATTCTAATTATATTTGTATATCTATTTTTTCTTATAAAACATTATTTTCTTATATTCTATTAATCTGGTTAGTTTTTTTTTCATCAGAATTTTATAATTCTTTTTTATAACTTTTATCGATTTCAATTTTATTAATATTTTAAATATAATTATATAAAATGTCTATTTCTTCTGGATTTTTTGGTAAAATCCATATTTTATTTTAATTATTTTTAGTTGTGATTTTTATAGATTTCTAATTATTAAAGTACATTATTTCTATACAATATTAACACCCAAACAAATTTATAATTCCTTTTTATTGTTTAGATGTATTTGTTTTATAATATATTAATTATTCTTAATCTAGTATATAATATCTCTTTATCTTTAATTAAGTTTTTTATCCAAATTTAAATAATTCTCGTCTATCATTTCGAAAAGATTTTATATATTCTTCATTTAATTTAAATGAGTTTTCGTTCATAAAAAATAATAAATTAATTTAAATATTATAATATATTTATTTATTTATTTTTATATAATATTTATATTTTTTTATAATTTTTTTAAAATGTATATAAATTGATTATATTTAATTTTAAAATAAATGTTTATAACTGACAAATATATCATTATTATGTTTTTCCTTTAGTACTTAAAAACCATTTAATTATATTTAAATTTTTAAATAAATAGTAAAATAGTTAATATAATATTTTTTGTAAACAAAAAAATTAATACCTATATTAAATTAATCTTTTAATTATCCAAATATATAAATATATTTTTTTTTTTTAAATAAACTTTATAGAATGTTTGATATTATTTTATAAAAACACCCAAATTATATGTAATATAATTAAAGATTATTACTACTAAATTGAAAATAAGAATTCTAAATATTAATTTTTTAATTTATTAAAATTTTCTAATTTTATAATCAATGAAATATGTTTAAAATTAAAACTTAATGTTCATATTTTCTAATTAAAAAACTTATTTAATTGTTTTTTAAATTTAATTAATTAATAAATATATATTTATCCCAATAAATAAAATATATAAAAAAAAGAGAAAAAATAATAATAATAATAAAGTTGATTTAAAAAAAAAAAAAAAATAATAAAAATATAAAAAATTACTTAAAAAAAAAAATATATATATATATATATATCCTTAAAACATATTTCAAAATATTCTATTTAAAAATAAAAAATTAACATTTTTCAATGATGTCCATGTTAGTGTTCCATATTTCCATTTTTAACTTTATCTATGGCTTCTTTTCTAACTTTTTAAACGAAGTTTTTTGCTTCTTGATTCACTCTTTTTCTTTAATTGATATTTTCAATATTAGATTAGAAGTTTTCATATAAAAATCCATTCTTATCATATTCAGCGTAAATTCTTGCATTTTCAGTAGTACAAGCTATAAAAAAATATTATATAAAAATAAAAAATTATTAAAAAAATACATAATCTTAAAAAGTTAGGTCTCGTTGCGCTTCTTTTTTCATATTATTTGAAAAAATCTCCTAAAAGGAGTGAATCTGAAGAATTTGTATCAAGACCACCAACTCTATAATTTGCATTAAAATAATAAAACATTCCAATTAATCCTAAAGTAAATACAATATAAGTTGAATTATAAAGTATTTCCTTTAAGGCACCCCATTCATCTCTAACATACATTTCACTATAAGTTATCATATATTCAGGATATACTTAATCATAAGCCCACATATTATTATCGAAAATTGAAATCTATTTTTATTTTTTTAAATGCTTATTTTTATTTTTTTTACTTCACGTTTATGGACATAAATTGGATTTAATGATAAAGGGACATCTGGTCTGTCCCAACCATGACCTCCCCTTAATTATTGTTGTTTGTTTAATGCTAATTTAAAATGATTGTTTAATATTCTTCTTAGGGCCATTTATTTTATTATTATTATTTTCTTTATTTTTTTAATTTATTAATTATTATTTCTTTTTTTTATTATGCTTTTGTTTTTTTCTCACTTTTTTATTTTTTTTTATTTATTATTTTAATTTACATATATAAATACTTTTTCATCTTATTATAACATTTATTTATTTCAATAATATTAAATTAATTTTGATTAATAAAGAACTATTTATGTTATTAATATTAATATATAAAAAAAGATATTTATTTGCTTTTATTTAAAAAACAAACAAACAAAAGATAAAAAAACAATTAAATTAAGATAATACAAATAAAATAATTAAATTAAAATAATACAAATAAAATAAAATTAAAAAATTTATACAAATAAACAAAAAAATACAAATAAAATGTCTGACGGCGACCCGAATTTGATTCCGACACTTGCAATATAAAAAAGAATACGTATATTAAAGTTAAAATCTTAAAAAACATATTTTTATTTTTTTTAAAAAAAGGCGAAAGACAATAAAAATTTTTACTTTCAAAACATAGTCATGATATAATCATAAGGTATCAATAATAAATGAATTAAATATGTATGATTGATTTTAATAACAAATATAAATAAAAAGTGCGATAACAGCTCCAATGACAACAATATATGTATCCTTATAATTATCAGTTTTACCTCATAAAAATCTATACGGAGATGAAGTAAAAACAGATACTAAAGCTTTAGGTGAGCTTTAAAAAGGAGTTACTACATAAGATAGGCGTAAATTTGAGTTAATATTGAAATCAGGTTCTTTAGGTAAATAAATAGAATAATAAAATAATATAAAATTAAAAAAAAGGATCAAATATGCCTTTTAGGGCTCCAGTATATACAAGTTATAAAGACGTAATATAGTCGTTAAAAAATTAGGGATTTTAGGGATTTTATAAAGGCAATTTATTAAGTTTATTTTATTAAGTTATAACAGCAAATTTACGTTATGAAACTTTAGGAATGTAATAATATTAAGGTGTTGGTGATAACGTTTCTTAACTATCAAAAACTTTAGTAGGTTAAAAAACTAGAGATAATAAATATATTTATATTTTTATATATTTAAGCTTTGGGTATTATTTGCGCTATAGATGTTATTTGTTAACCTATTTAGCTTTTATCTACACGTTTTATACTTTAAAATAGAATACCGGAATTTAGTACATATAAAAGTATAATGTTCGCACTTAAAAAACATAGAAATAGACCCAAGGAATTATTATAAGGTTTATTTTTAATAGAAATGAAATAATTTAATAATATTAAAAAAAAAAGGTGCTAGTGGTTAATGTGGCAAAAATGTTGTTTAATTATTAATTAATAATGTAATTGGGTCAAGTGGAAATATATAAAGTTATTTAATTTCCAGTTTTATAGGACATTTAACTGTTTATCCGATTTTGACTGCTGTTAGAAGACTAGAATGCTAATCTAAAATTGCTGGAATGATTCCTAAAAGATATGGAGGAACTTGGCATGCAATAAGGCTTATTAATTAAGAAGAGGGATTAAAAGGACTATATAGAGGATTTATTGGATATAGTATAGCAGTAATAATGCATTTTTAACTAATTATATATTTTATTTTTTAAAAAAAGAATTTGATTTCTACTTATAGTGTTTTGTCGTTAAATAAATATGTTAATAGCGCTATAGATTAATGATTTTTTATATTATATTTATTTATGTTTTTTTTTTTCAAAATACAAATTTGAATATATATATATATATATATATATAAATATATATATATTTTAGTATTTAAAAATATAAAAATCATATGAAAAGTATTCATAAGTCCAAAAAATTATTAATTGTAGATGATAATAAAGATTTAATAGATTAAAAAAATATAATCTATACAAATGATATTAAAATAATTACCCATTTTTTATAAAGAGATGAACTAAATTAATAAATAGAAGTAAATATTTTATGTCCAGAATTAATTTAAGATTTAGATTTAAAATAATATAAAATAAATCTTGAAACGTAAAATGTTCAAGATTTCGATTTAAAATTATTAGAAATAGATAGTGAATTATATAAATAAATACATCCAGAATTAAGAAATTATCATTTAGTAAACCAATTATTAGACTAAGGACAGAAAATAATGTAATAATTTTTAAAAGAAAATAAAGAATTTGTTTATTTTATAACTTTGTTTAATTAAAAATTGAAATAATCAATATCAAATATTGAATTAAATAGGCGAAAGTGTTAAGTTTTAATTTTAAATAAAATTAATTTATTTATTTTTTCAAAAAAAAGGTTCTTGAATTTAAAATTAAAGTAAAAGAATGTGAAGAGAATTTATTAGAAAAAAATAAAGAAAGAATTTTAAAAGAAATGATTTTAAAAAAAGAAAAGAAAAATATTTAATTAAATAATATTAATTTAAACAAAGATAAAATATTTTAAAAAATTAAAAAATAGTTTTTTATAAATAAATGTATATCAAACAATACAATATTTTAAATTATAATGGATGAATATAAATTTTATATAATAAATATGAAGTAAATTATGTTAGATAAATAAATTTTTCTATAAAATGTATTTAAAGATTGGAATATAGTACAAAATTTTGATGAAAACATGTATTTTGCAAATTAATGAAAAAAAAAATTAAATTTTTAATATTAAATTTTATAAATTTCTTTATGTGTTAAGAATAAAAATAAATATATTTATTGTAAAAATATTTATTTAAAAAAAAAATAGATTCGTACTATATTTTTATTATAAAATACAAATTTATTAAAAGCTTAATATATATAATATTTTATTAATTATTAAAAATAAAAAAGAAAGAAATGTCAGATTAAGATGAAGAACAACTTGTAAAAAATTAATTAAAAAAAATAGAAAAATAATAAAAAAAAAAGATAAAAGAATAACTTAAATATGTATCTTTTGAAAAATTACTTTAAATAAATTCCAAATAAAATTCAATAAAATAAAATAATTCAAAATCTTTGCCAAAATTTTCCCAAAAAAATAATTAAGGAATTGAAATACCAAAAAAAAAGCACCAAAAAGGAGCGTATATATAAAAAAAAATATACTAAATTAATTATAAAAACAAATAAAAAGTCCTATAGAAAGAGATGCAAAAAGACCCGTATCAGTATTCCAAAAAGTTGTAACATCATAAAGAAAAAAAGGTAGAGATCCTCGTTTTGATAGCCTATCAGGGATATATAATGATACATTTTACAAAGAAAGTTATAGATTTATAGACGAAATGAAATAAAAAGAAATCGAGCATCTTAAAGAAGAAATAAAGAAGAAGAAATACACATAAGAGGAAGTTTTTATTCTAAAAAACAACTTAGGATAAATAAAAGGAGAACTAAAATTAAAAGAAAAAAACGATAAGATAAAATAAATAAAAGATAAATACAAAAAAAATGCCAAAAACTAAATTCAGTCAAATAAATTGCCTTATTTTGCCAAAAAAGTTAAATAAAAGAGGACTTTTTACGAGACCAATTCGATAAGTAAGAAAAAGAAGGAAAATTAGATAATGTAATGAAAAAGAAAAGAAAACTAAAAAGCAATAAATTAAAATAAGCATTTCATTTAGTATAATATAATAATAAATAAAAAAAATTAAAAAGAGAAGAAGATTTATTAAAAAAATGAAAATAAATAAATAAAAAAATATATATTTATTTATATTTAGATTAGATTTGAAAAAAATTCTAATAAGAAAATATTTATTTGTAAATGTAAATATTATAAACTTATACTTTTTTTTTATTTATATATGAATTATTTTTCATATTTTTTTATGAATAACTTTAGATAAAATTATTTTTTAATAAAATATTTATTTTTAATATAGCTTTTCATTTTTTCCTTTATTTATTAATCATGCATATAATAATTTAAAGATTTTGAGTCACATTTTATAATAATATTAGTCTTACTGTTTTTATTTTATTTTTAAATGCTTAATATATTTAATGAAATAAAAATAATGTTTATAATATAAATATTAATTTAAAAGTATTTATTAAATACTTTTATAATAAAAATGAATAAAACAAATTATAAATAAAAATTAACATATTTATTAAAAATAAATTTATAATAAAAAAATGAATAATAAATATTTAAAAGTTTAAAATTAAGTAAATATTTTTAATTTTATTAATTCAAATTATAAATAAATATTATACTCTATAATAAAAAGCCTATAGAATCAATATTATAATGATTTCTATAATTTATAATCATTTTAACATCTTATTTTATTTTGAATAAAATATAAGTATAGTAAAATTATAGGCTTTGACTTTATATATAAAATAATTCTATTTAAAAATGAATATTTAATAGTTTATATTTAGCTTAAAAAATAAATATTTATCTATATATAATTATATATATATATATATATATATATATGTAATTTTATTTATATTTTTTTATTCCATATTTTTTCAAATTTTATTTTCTTAATCAGCTTTTTCTTTGTATTTATTAATTTCTTCCCTTCGTCCAAAAAGATAAGGTAAAGGTTCTTCAACTTTAATATTAGTTTATTTCAATTCACCGTCAATAATTAATTGTTTTGCGTAAGCTTCTAAAGGGTCAATAACACGCTTATGAGGTTTTGTTTCCAATTTTACTTATATTTTAATTTCATCAATATAAGCTTTGAATGATAAAGGTTCGTTAATTGCAAAATCAGCAAGTATTTTTCTATTTAATTAAATATTAGATTAATTTAATGCCCATATTAATCTATTATAAGGAAGATTATGTTCTCTTGTAGCTGCGTTTATTGTTTATATCCATGATGTTCTACAAAGTCTTCTTCTTACTTTTCTATCTCTAAATGAATATCTTAATGCTTTATGGACACGCCCAGCCATTACTCTAATGCAATTTTTACTACGTCCATAAAAACCTTTTGCAAGTTTTTTATATTTATCTCTTGAAAAACCGGCCATTTTTTTATTTTATAAAGATTTTTTTTTATCTAATATTTATTGTTTTTATTAATATATTTTTTTATACTATATTAATTTGTAAAAAATATTATTTTTAATTTTTTTTCATCTTCGCATATAATTAATAATATATATATTTCTAATATGCATTTTTTATTTAATTTTTTTATATTATAAATAAAAAAAATATTATAATATTTATTTTAAAAATTATAATATACAAAAAATGCATTTATTATATATTTATTTTAATATTATTTAAATAATTTCATTTGTTTAAAAGTTTAAATGTATATATTTATATTTTATTAATATAAAAAATTAAATACTTATTTTACTAATAAAAAAAAATACTTAAATTCAAAACTTAAATAATTAACCTTATTAATATAAAATATTTTTATTAATATGATTATTAAATATGTAATATTAAATTTTTTTTATTTTCTTTAACCCTAAAAAATTAATAACAAATAATAAATAATGACTAAAATTTAAAACAACTATATGCTGTAATGATAGAAAAAAAACTTAAAAATTAAAAATATTTATAAAATTTGAAATTGAAATACCAATAAGACCATATTATGATTCAAACATTCAACTATTTCACCAAATACATTCTATAAATAAAAGTAAGACATGATTATATAATAAAAACTAGTATTTCTATATTTTATTATATTTTTTTTTATGATTTTTTTATTTCTTCTGTATATTTTTTTTAAATACCAAAATTAGTAAAAAAAAAAAAAGACTATTATTTATTTTTCTCGCCTTTTTTTTGTTGATTAATATTTTAAAATATAATTCAGAAAAAAATAAAAGAACTTAAAAACATGCAATATTAGTAAAACTAAAACTATGCAGCTAATTTTTTTAAATAAATATAAGGCTAAATTATATAATAGAAATCAAGGATATATAAAGATAATTATTAATGAAAGCAAATAATATCTATAAAAATAGAATTTAATATAATCATATTTATAAATGCTTAAAAATACTTTAATTCTTGAATTATTATTAAGTTAAAAAAACAATTTGTTTCAAAAAGGTTGTTTAAAAGAAATATTAATATAATATAAATAAATAAAACTAATCTTGATGACACAAACAAATATTTTTTATAAAACTAGAAAAATTTAAGAAATACCTTAAAATAAAGATATGAATCAAATAAAAATAATAAAAGGAGATTTTTCTTTAGTCAAAAGTAATAGCAATATTTTTAGTAGTAATTTTAGTAATATAAAGGAAATATATGTTTTAAAGCATTGATAATATTTGTAATGAGGAGGGTGGGATAAAAAGAATTTAATCATTATATTAAAATTAAATTTTTTATAGGAATTTTAGTTAATAATAATTTCCTTGATTAGTTTATTATTTTATTAATAAATTTACAAATAAAAATAAATGACTAAAACAAATATAATAGAGTAAAGTATTTTTTATCTTAATAAATTAGAAACAAAAACTATAAATTTTTAAATATAATTAAACTAAATTTAAAATTAAAAAAAATAATATTTATTATTAATAAAGTTTACTTTAAATTATATATTAATATTTTTGCATTTATTATTATGTATATATATATATATATATATTATCAATCAAAAAATATCCCTTATTTATTTATTACTAGAAACAATTTACGATTCACTATTTCTTTAAGTACTAGATAATTTTTGAACTCCATTTAATTATTTATTTTTCGTATTAGATTTAATATTTTCAAAAGTTTATTTTTATCCAACATTTCCACTTTTAATACTTTTTTATTATATTTATTATCTATTATTTTTATCAAATAATTTATTAACATCACCTCCTGGCATATATTTATTAAATTATCTATCCATTTCATCAAACATATATTCATCTACTCCATATCCAATATCTTTATAATTACTATTTAATTCACTTACTTAGTTTTTAAGATTATAAACTTCCCCAGCATATCCTTATATTTATTTTTTTGTACTCGCTATCATTTATCTTAACTCTTCGAGATCGTCAATATCTTTTTTTCGTTTAAATCCTTCAAATATTATTCAGTGTCAAAATCTTCTTCTTCTTATTAATAATCTTCTTCGTTTTCTTCTTCCTCTTCTTTTAAATTTTGTAATTATTTTTATTGTTAAAATTATAATTCTTCTTCTTCTTCATATTATTTTTCTTAATATAAACCTGTACCAGTAACAAACGTATTTTCTTTTTCTTTTTCTTTTTAATTCCTTTAATTTTTTGCTTTTTATTGTTACTTTTTTTCTTTTACTGCAGGTATATCTGATTTATTTTTTTCAAGCTTTTTTTTATATTTTTTACTATTTTTTTATTTATTTTTTTGTTACTAATTATTTTGCCTTTTCTAAAACATCTTTACCTTATTAAATTTAAGATGTGTTTTCTATTTCTTATTTTAAATTATAATCTATTCTTTCTTCTTGGATAAAAGTTGATTATGCGTTTTCTTTATTCATTAATTACTAATCAAATTAGGATTTTTACATTGGATCTTCAAACATTGTGCTTATTTTCATAAACAAACTGTTTTGTAAATCTGTTAATTTTTTTTGACCATCTCTGTCTTCTTCTGATTCAGATGGCTTTTTTGTTATTTTTTCAGCTACTGATTTCGCTTTTCTTAAAATACTAGTCATGCTTATTATTGGTTTTTTATGTATTTTATTTAAAAATATTTTTAAATAAAATATAATTATACAAAATGAAATAATTATTTTTAATTTTAATCTGATTAATATATAAATACATTTAAAAAAATATGTATTTTTCTTATTAAATAAAAAACTATAACTTATAAATAAAAACTATTCTAAATATGAAGGAAATTTTTTTAACAAAAATTAATTTTTATTATAAATTAATAAACTTAAATCTTAATTTTTTATATCCATTAAATAAATAAAATATATCTCAATCAATAGTAATTCAATTTTATTAAAATTGAAAATCAAAAACTTAGAAAATTTAATCTAAAATACAAATCCTAATTTCAAAATAATGACATTAGGTTCTCAAAAATTCATAATTATCTTTAACTTATTAATTAAATCAAAATCCATTACTACACGAAAGCTTTATTTTCATTTTATAATTTTGTATATTTCCTTTTAGAATCTCTTTCAAGACCAATAATATTATAAAAGCAATCAGTAGAATCTAAAAATTCGAATCTAGTGAAAATATATTTATATTTTTTTTAAGAATAAAATAACAAATTATTATAATTAAAGTAAAAACTTTTAATTTTTTGATTTAAATCGCGAGAATATAAATAATATTTTAATTTCTATATATTCTTAAGATTTTTTATATGTTATTTTTTTAAAATATATATTTTTCAAAATATAGATTTCATTTTAAAATTAGCATTCATTTTTTAAGATATCGAATATAGCAAATTAAAAAATTAAATATTTTATTTTTTATTTATTTTATTCTTATAAAAAATGTTCTTTTTAGATCAAATAATATGCAGATTATGACTTTTTATAGCTGAAAAAATCATATTATGTCTTATTTACTTTATATTTTTCATTTTTATACTATTTCTTATATATTTTTTATTTATCTTCAAAAATATCTAATTTATGTTAAGTATTCTATTTTCAAAGTAAATATTTATTTTTTCAATAATTTTTTTTTTTTAGATTTCTATTAATTGACTATTAAGCTAACACTAATATAATTTTTCACTTATAGAATTATATTATAAACAATTATTATTATTTTAATAGTCTAAATTGAAATTATTTAGATATTTATTTAACTTTGAAAAAATATGTTTTTGAATTAATTAAATAATATTCTTTTTTTTTTTTTTGAAACCTTCGATTTTATTCAGTCATAAACATTAGTTACTTCTCAATAATTTATTCATATTAAAAAATATTTTTCATTTTTTTTTTTATAGGTAATAATATTTTTATTTTTAACATTTTAAAAATTTAAGCATTAAAAAGTTTATTTTTAAAACAATTATATAATATATTTAATATTTTTAATCTATTATCTTCATAATATCTCTATATTTGTTATGAAAATATATTTTAATAAAAAATATTTTTAAATATTTTATAAATTTTTATACTTAATTCTTAACTTTAATCAGTCCAATTATAAAATATTGTGATTTTGGTAAGATTATATTATTTGTAAAATAAGTTGGATAATTTAGAGATAAAAAATATCTTATTTTACAAATACAATCTTAATATTTGAATAGTTGGACTTTAATAATATTAATTTTTAAATATATAAATATTTATTATGAGAGTTTTTCATATTAAATAAAATATTAATTTTTTAACATTTTTATTTAGAAAATTATTATTAATAAAATATATATTTAGTATTATTAATATTTTTAATAGATACATTTATCTAAAACAAGAAAAAATATTTAAAAATAATATTTTCTATTTATATTAATATAAATAATATTAATATTATTTTTATATAATCTTTAAAATATTTCAATATTTCTTTATAAAATAAAGTTATTAAAAGTAATAAAAATTAAAAATGATTAGAATATGAACCAAAATATAATCCAATATTGTATTTATAATCTAATAATATAATAATAAGATGAAATGTATTGAATGTATAAATAAATAAAAATTATATATTTTAAACAGTTAATTATGTATATATAATATAATATAATATAATATAATATATCTAATTTTAAATTAATTATATATAAAAGAAAAAAATATATAATATATAATAATTAATAAAAATTATATATAGTTTTATTTTTACCATAAAATTAAATTATTTAATTAATTATAATTAAATATGAAAAAGTATAATTTATAAATAAATATGAAATACAATAAATTGATATTATTTTTTTTTTTTCTCTCTCTCTCTCTATATATATATATATATATATATATATATATATATATATAAGCATAATAATAGAATTATCTTAAAAAAATTTGAAAAAAAAATTAAATTAAAAAAAATCAATTAATATAATTAACATTTTATCCTGTCATCAATTATTTTAATTCATTAAAAGTGATTTAATTTTTATTTTCTAAATGTAATTCATCAAACATTTTCTAAATATCCAAAATTGAAATATCTCTCCCATTTCTCAAAAACCACTCTTATAGATCTAACAATGTAACCGAATTAGTATTCGAAGAGTCTAAATATTTGAAAAGCGACCATAATTTTTCTTCTTTTAAATATTAAATTTAATTTAAAGTTGCAGCAATAAACTCTGAATATTTAATAACTAAACAACCTTCATGATTTTCTGATGAAATTTTTTTAATTAAAACCTCAATATCCTTTTTTGAATGTTTAATACCCTCATTTTACATGATTTCCTTTAATTCGTTTACTCTAATAACTCCTGTTTGATCTTTATCTGCTTATTTAAATTAATTTTTGAGAATTTAAATTTCTTATTCAGTGAATTAATTTATTAAAATTTTCATAAATTCTTTCTTTAACTTAGTTGTTTGGGAATAATTTATTAATAAATCTGAAATCTTATTCTATATTTCAATGCTATTTTCCTTTTCTGTAAGTTGTACATGCAAATAAAAATCTTTATTTACAACTTTTTATTTCATTATTCTGCAATATTACTTTATCCAAGGATGTTCTAATGCTTAAGTTATTGTAAGCCTTTTTTATCGATCAACTACAAGTAATTTCCTTATCAAATCTTTTGCCATTTCCGAAATATTATTCCAATCACTCCCACTCATAGAATATGTTCCCGTTTATATTTTTTCGTATAGTTTTTATTTATTATCATCATAAAAGGGTGGATATCCGACTAAAAGCAAATATAAAAGAACGCCTAAACTCCAATTATCACATCTTTGATCATATTTGCCTTATAAAACACCAGGTGAAACATAATATGATGATCCTACAACTGTATTTAAATATTTATGATTATTTAATTTATTTGAAAGCCCAAAATCGACAATTTTTATTTCCGAATCATCAGAATCTGATAAAAAGAGTATGTTTTCAGGTTTTAAATCTCTATGTACTATTTTTTTAGAATGCATATGATTTACAGCTGAAAATAATTATTGCATCAATATACTTGCTTCTTGTTCTTTTAATTATTTTTTTCCATTAAAAGATCTAATAAAGATCCACCTTAGCAATATTCCATACAAATATAACAAAACATATCATTTTAATAAACTTCATAAAATTTAATAATATTTGGATGATCCAGAGTTTTTAATATTTCAAGTTCTCTCAATAAAAAATAATAATTATTTTTTAATTTTGCTCTATCAATTATTTTTATTGCTATTTGTTTTTATGGTTGTATATTTTTTTATATGGCTAGTTTTACTACTCCATAACTTCCTTCGCCAATTATTTCTTGGAAATCATAAACATCGCGAATGTTTGTTTTCGATGCTGTTAACTCTAAACGCTTCTATTCTGATTATAAAATGAAATAACTATTTCTTTTTAAACATTTTGTTATACATATACCCATTTTTATTTATTGTGATTTTTTTTTTTTTTTTATATTATTTTTTCATATATAAAAATATAAATTTTACAAATTTTTAGTATTTTGTTGATATATTTTGTTGATAGTAATTTATTATTTTTTTTTATATGGTAATTTATAAAAATATATTTTTGAATTTAATATATTTTGTCTTTTTTAAATTTTTTTATTTTTAATAAAATATAATTGTTGCTAAATTTTAACATATTTTTTTTTTTTTTTATGTTATTATTTATTGAATATAAAAATTTTTTAGTAAAAAAAATAATTAAATTCATATATTATTTTTTATTATTTTTTTATATATCTATATTTCCAATTAATAAAAAAAAAATAAGGCAATTTTATAATTTTATTTGAAAATTAAGTAATTTTATAATTTTTAAATTATTCTAAATAAATATAAAATATTTTTTTTACACACTTTTTAAAGTAAAAACAAATGGAAAAAAATTGTTCATTATCGTAAAAAAAAAATATAAATAAAATAATTATCATCAATAAAGAATATTTATTTTATTTTTTTAAGGATTTTTTTTATATTTAATTTTAATATATTTATTATATAATTTATATATTTTTTTTTTTAATTTTGTAATATTATTATTTTAGAAATAAAAAAGTATTAGAATTATGTCTTTAATATAATTTAATTTGCTATTAAATTTTTAATTTTTATTATATAAAATATTTTATAAAAGATATATTTTTTTTTATAATTTTGCTTAACTTATTAAAATATGTAAATATATATTATTGAAAACATACAGAAAAAATAAAAAATCTTTAATAAAATTATTTTATTAAATAATTAAAAAAAAAAAAAAAAAATCAATTAATATAATTAACATTTTATCCAGTCATCAATTATTTTAATTCATTAAAAGTGATTTAATTTTTATTTTCCAAATGTAATTCATCTAACATTTTCTAAATATCCAAAACTGAAATATCTCTCCCATTTCTCAAAAACCATTCTTATAAATCTGACACTGTAACCGAATTAGTATTCGAAGAGTCTAAATATTTGAAAAGCGACCATAATTTTTCTTCTTTTAAATATTAAATTTAATTTAAAGTTGCAGCAATAAACTCTGAATACTTAATAACTAAATTCTCTACCTAACTTTCGTTTGAAATATTTCTTATTAAAGCCTAAATTTCTTTTTTCGAATGTTTAAATCCTTCCTATTCCATAATTTTCTATAATTCACTAATTCTAATAACTCCAGTCTAATCCTTATCGACTAATTTAAACTAATAATTTAAATCTTCGATTTATAATTCAGAAAGTTAATTAATTAAAATTTTCATAAATTCTTTTTTTAATTTAGTAGTATTAGAATATTTAATAAGTAAATCAGAAATTTTAAAACAACTAATCGAACTACAACTTAAAGTAATATAATTATCATCACTATTTTAACGATTTATTCTCGGACTCTCTATATTATTTTATTATTAATATTTTTTAATAAAAGGATGTTATAAAGCCTCTTTTATAGAAAGCCTTTTATTTCTTTCAACTATTAGTAGTTTTGATATTAAGTCCTTCGCTTAACTAGAGATATAGTCCCATTGTTTACCTTTCATATCATATTTACCATTTTTAATTTTTTCAAACATTTCTTATTTATTTTCACCATGAAATGGAGGATATCCAACTAATAAAAAATATAAAAGTACGCCCAAACTCCAATTATCACATCTGTAATCATATTTACCTAATAAAATATCAGGCGATACATTATATTAGCTATCTATTTGTGTTTTTAATAACTTCTAGTTATTTAATCTATTAGAAAGACTAAAATTGACAATTTTCACTTCTGAATCAGCCTAATTAGATAAAAAAAAAATATTTTCAGGTTTTAAATCTCTATGTACTATTTTTTTAGAATGCATATGATTTACTGCTGAAAATAATTATTACATTATTTAACTTACTACCTATTCTTTTAAATGTCTATTTTCCATTAAAAGATCTAATAAAGATCCACCTTAACAATATTCCATACAAATATAACAAAACATATCATTTTAATAAACTTCATAAAATTTAATAATATTTGGATGATCCAGAGTTTTTAATATTTCAAGTTCTCTCAATAAAAAATAATAATTATTTTTTAATTTTGATTTATCAATTATTTTAATAGCTATAGGCTTTTATGGTTGTATATTTTTTTATATGGCTAGTTTTACTACTCCATAACTTCCTTCGCCAATTATTTCTTTGAAATCATAAACATCACGAACATTTGTTTTTGACGCTGTTAACTCTAAGCGCTTTTACTCGGTTTGTGGTAATTATTAATGATTGCTTTCAAGAAATTGAAAAAAACATTACCCCATTTATTATAATTAATTTTATTTTTTTATTATTTTTTTTTTTATTAAAAAAAAATTGTTATTTTTAACTTTTTTTAATCAAAATTTTTATAAATCATTAAATTAAATTTATTATAAATTAAATTATATGAAAATATTTTTAACATTATTATTGTATTTCTACTATTCTATATTTAAATTAAGATATTAATTATAGATATAATAAAATATGATGAAATTTATTCAAAAATTTATATATTAAATTCATTGATAATTATTTTTTACAATTAAATATTTCTTAAATTTTATAAAATAATATATAATTATATCATCTAAAATAAAAATAATATTTTCTTTTTTTTTTATTGATAAATTTATGAGATAAATATATTTTATTATAAAAAAGTATAAATAATTAAATATTTTTTTTAAATTAAATTAATAAAAATATTAATTATACTGGTTTAAATTTTTATCATGTATAAAATATATATGTTATATTATATTATTATATTATAATATTTTTCTATTTATTAATTATGTTATATTATACATTAATTAAATAATTAATAAAAATATTATAATTATATTATTTTTTGTATTTATACATATATTTTAAATGTTATTTATTACAAAGATTAAAATTATTTAATTATTAATTTTTTAAATATTCATTATATTTAAATAATAATTATATTAATATTTACATTTTTCTTATAAAAACTTTATTTACAAAAAGTATTTCCTTTTTAGATATAAATATATATAATAATTTAAATCTTATTAATTTTACCTTTTCTAATTTTTTAAGTTAACCTTAATATTCTTTTTAGTTTTATATTTATAATATATATATAAAAGCTTTAATTTATTTATATTTTTTTTTAATTATTAATATATTAAATTATAATTACTTACATTCTTATAAATTATATACATATAATTTTTTAATTAATCTGATTATATAAAATAATACTTTTTTCTTTTTAAGAACTCGAAATCGAAATAAATACTTTTTTTATTATTATTTATTATAAAGATCTTATATTACAAAAATAACTTTCAAATTTTTATATTAAATATTTTATTTTCTTATAATTTCCATATTTTTATTCTTCTATCGTTATATCAAATTATTATATAGCTATAAATTTTTGAAATTGTTAATTTTTTTATGGTATAATTTGTAATTTAAAAATGAACATGATTTGTATAATAGTTCCTTAGTATTAATTGAATAAATAAATCTTTAAAATTTAAACCAAAAAAAGAATTGTTAATTATTTTATAAAATTAAATAGATAAAAAAGTGATTTTTATAGTAAGATAATGTTGTATATAATATTTTTTATTATTTTTAAAAATAAACAAAAAAATTACACCTATATTTTTTATATTAAATATTATTTAGACTAAAGCTTTCTCTTATTTATGTTTACTAAAATATTAAATTAGATATTTAAATATCTTTTTAATAAAAATAATAAATTCTAAACATAGATTTTTTTTATACAATATTTTATAATATTAGTTCCAAATAAATATTTTCAATATAAAATTTAATTTTTTTTTATGATTAAATTTTTTTATAAAAAATAAAATTTCAAATCTTTATTTTTTATCATATATATTATATATCTTAAAAATAAAAAATAAATAATATCTTTTAAATAAATAATTATTTTTTATTTTATTTAATAAAAAAAAATAAAGATTTAAAATAATGTTTATTAATATTATTTAAAAAAACTAAATATATTATTGTCATTTGTTTAAATATATATCATTTGTTTAAATATATATATATATATAAATATATCATAATATTAATTAAATTTTATATTCTTTTATATAATAATAATAATTATATAAATATTTTTATTTGTTAAAGGATCATTTAATATTTTTTATATTAAAAACTTATTTCATGTTTTTTAAATCAAATTTTATTGAATTTTAAGTTTTCTATATTTTTTTATACGAATAATCAAAATTAATTATTGCTTTTCTATCAATAATATAATTCATAATTTTAAAATATAATTAATATCAGTTAATTTTTTATTTTTAAAATTAATATAAAAATATTATGGATTTATATTTTTTAATTTAAATTATTTATTGAATATATGATTTTTTATAATATGCTTTTGTATTATTAAAAAAGAAAAGAATTAAAAAATTTTATTGTAAAAAGAACTCTAAATAAATAAAAATTATACTATTAAAAAATTAAACTAATTATATAACAATATAAATTTTTAATATTGGGTTATAATATATTAATTATATTTTACATATATAATTTTGAGCAAGAAAAAAAAGTAGAAATTTAATAAAATAGAAAACAAAATAATTATGGGAAACTCATTATGTTAATGTTGTGAAATTAATTAGTAAACTAGAGATAAAAAAATAAAATAAAAGAATCCTAATAAGATAAACGAAATAAAATATAATAACACATTAGAAACCGAAACGTAAGTAAACCAATATTTATATGATACATCAGGATATGAAAAAGAATATTAAATTGGCCAATATGTGTGCGGAGGAGAAGAAGTAGAAAAATATAATCCAAGTTATAATCACAGAAATAAATTTTGGTCCGAATCAATATAAAAAATAAAAAAAAAGAAAAAGAAAAAATCCTGTATTCACGAAGATACACAGAATTTATTATTTAATAAAAAATACGATCATCTATTAATTTATGAAGACAAAAGTAAATTAGTAAAAAATATTAAAATAGGACCCCCTACAAAATATAGATGGTCAGCTTGGAAAGCGCATATTTTCGAATAATTATAAATCAAAGACCCGACATTATTCCAGCGTTTACTAAAATATAAATCAAATCAAATGTGCTAAATAGAAAAAGATGTTACAAGAACTTTTCCTTTATAAATATATTTTTAAAACACAGAAAAAAACCAAACGAAGGATACAAATCTTTAGCAAAGTATGTTTTTTATTAAAAAAAAAATATTTATAATAAAATATGCATCGTTTCATAAAAAAAAGTATATTATAATGTATAAGTATTACTTATCCATAAATTGGCTATTGTTAAGGTATGAACTTTATTTTAGGTTTTATGTTATTAATAAATGGAGGAAATTAATAAGAATCTTTTTGGATGTTTAAGGCTTTAGCAGAAAATTAAAATTTTATGCTTTTGGGACTTTACGAGGAGAATTTTCATTTTTTGAAGTTTTTGGAATATTTAGCTATTTAGTTAACAAATAAACATTTAGGGAATTTAATTAATCATTTTAATGATATTCAAATACCTGAATATTTCTGGATAAATAAATGGTTCTTGACTTTATTTTTGTACTCTTTTCCTGTCAGGGTATGCAGTCGAATGTGGGATTATATTGTTTCGAATTCCATTTTTTCTTGTATTTAATTAATGATATCATTTTTAAAAATTTTCGAAAAGAAATTACTTAAAATGGATGCTGGAGATTTAATGAATTTTTTCGCTAAAATGGGATAGGATGAATATATTTTATGTAAATAAGAATCTGAATTTTATTTAGATTGCTCTAAATTGGCAAGACTAGCAGATTAATACTAAATAAATAATAAAACAATATAAAAATATGCTAAATAATATTTAGGAAAAAATAATGAGAATGAATATGCATTTTTATATAGTTTTTATAATAATTAAATATAATTTTCTTTAGAATATGAAAAAATTCTCTAAAAAAAAATTTTTATACCTCAAATTATTATTAGTGAATAGTAAATAGAAGATGAAAAAAATGGTAATAATATTCAAGTTGATAATTAAGATTATCTTAATGATTTTTAAATTATTAATATGGAGTCTAGTTCTATTTATAACTAATAAATTTAGAAAAAATAATGTTTGAAAAATTAGTAATAAGACTTTAGTTTATTGGAATAATAAAAAAATGAATAAAGATTAAAAGATAATTGATTTATATTTTTTTACAAATAAACTTTAATTTTATTTTAAATATGTATATTTTTTTGATAATTTTTATTAATTAAAATAATAATTAAATGTTTTTTTTACAAAACCAAAATTTAAATATAATATGTTAATTAATTATTATATTTTTTTATTTTAAAACATATCTATTATATTTTAATATTAGAGTTTTATAATTATTTAGATTTATTTAATTTAAAATTGTAAAAATTAAAAAAAATACACAAAATATTTTTAATTAATTTTAATTATTAATAATATATAAATTTAATTAAAATTAAAAAATATATATATGAAAGGTGCACAATAATATTAGCAAATAAAAAAATAAACAAACAACAAAGAAACATAAAATTAAAAAATACAAAATTAGTATGAAAAAAAATATAAAGAAATCGAGTTTATTGGAAAAGGATCATCTAGTTTATGTTATTTAGTAAAAAATATACAAGAGCGTAAATTTTATATATCGAAAAAAATGCCATAATAAAATTTATCTGATAACTAACGAAAATTATGTGAATAGGAAGTATAAAAATTATCAATTAAAAAAAATAATAAAAAAATATAATATAAAGTTATTTCTTTTAAAAGAATTAAAACATCCGCATATAGTATCTTTTAAAGAAAGCTTTATGGTAAATGATTAAATAATAATAATAATGGAATATTGTGAAGAAGGAGATTTATCGTTTCACATAAAATAATAAGCTAAAGAAAATATTTTTTTTTCCGAAAAGATAATATTGAATTGGTTTGTATAAATAACACTTGCACTTGATTATATCCATGAAAAAAATATTCTCCATAGAGATTTGAAATCATCGAATGTATTTTTAACAAGAACAGGTTGTGTAAAAATAGGTGATTTTGGAATTTCAAGAATATTATTTGATCCTTAAGAAAAAGTTAAAACAATGATAGGAACTCCTTAATATTTATCACCTGAAGTATTTTTAAATAGCCCTTATGCTTATTATTCAGATATATGGTCTTTAGGTTGTTTATTATATGAAATGTGCAGTTTAAAAGTATTTTTTTTCATTTATTTATTTTTAAATTAAAATAAAAAAGAAACCGTTTGATTCTTCTAATGTAATGACTTTAGCAAACAAAATTATTAATGATCCTGTGCCAAAGATACCAAAAATATTTTCAAATAATCTAAATTTTGTAGTATAGTAATAATTAAATAATAAATAAATTATTTTTATTTTATAAAAATAAAAATAAATTTAGAGTTTTATTATAAAAAAATCAATAAGATCGTCCTAGAACAAAATAGATTTTTTAGCTTCCATTTATAGTATAAGTAATGCAAGATTTTGTATCATAAAAAGGTTTAAAAGAAGAATTTTAGAATTTAAAAATAAAAAAAACAAAAGTACATTTATAAAAAGAAAAAAAGAAAGATAAAATATAGCTTCATATGAAAGAATTAAAAGCTGATGGTTTATTTTAACCGGGTGAAGAGTAACTTTTAAAAAGTGCAGAAAGAACAAAATTTTCAATGAAATAAAAATTGCAAAGTTAATAAAAGTTTTAAAAAGAAACGAAAACGAAGTCAATTTAAAATATAGAAGACAATAATAAAAAAACTCCGAATTTAATGATTAATATGAAAGCCAAAAATTAAAATTAAAAGATATCCACTAATAATAATTAAGGAAATACTAAATAATAATAAAATAATATAAATAATAAATAATATAAAGATAATAAAAAAAATGTAAACAATTTACCTATCATTGATTAGCCAAAGGAAGAATAAATATAAGAAGAAAAATAAGAAGAAAATAATAAAGAATAAAAATAAGAAGCAAAAAATAAAGTATAAAAAGAAATAGAAAAAGAAAAGAAAAAGAAAAAGAAAAAGAAATAGAAAAAGAAAAAGAAAAAGAAATTTAAAATGAATAAAAATAACAAGAAGCTTATAATAATGATAATAATAATTATCTTAATAAAATTTATGAAAACACATTTTTAATGAATGATTAATCTGATGTTTCTTTAAATGTTTCTTTAACATATGTATTATTTACAGATTTTTTTTTAAAAATTTATTCTTCCTTTATATATATTTTCTTTGTTTTATTAATATTAGAATTCAGCTTTTTTTTTAAGTAAAATTGTAAATAATAAAGATAGTAGTAATTTTAAAAGTTTATAAAAAAATTATTTTTAATAAATAAAAGAAAATGAATAGAAAAATCTAGAAAATGAAACAAATTAATGCACTTAATATGAAAATTCAAATAGATAAGAATAGAATGAATTAGAAGCAAAATAGTAATTATAAACATACCTTAAAAACAGTTTTGATGTACTTCCTCAAAGAGAGGATTTTAGTATAGAAGAAAATACTGAAAATGAATATTAAGAAGATTTCGAAGTTAGTTCTGAAGAAAATAATTAAAATGTATTTTTTTTAAAAAAAATAAAAATCAATTTTAAACTTTTTTTAAAAAAAATATAATATTAATTAATAAATTTAATACTAAAATAAAAAAAGGAATAAAAAGATCCTTTCATGCTTACAAGTAAAAATTTAAATTAAGAATTAGAAGAAGTAATTTCAATTTATAAATCTTAGTTAATGGCAAGTGGTGAAATTAATTTAAATAATAAATATAAAATTAATATGGAATTATCTGGTTTTTATTTTTTTATTATTTATTTTATTTAATAATTTATATTTTTCATAAAGAAATTGAAGAAATAACTGGAGAATTTTCTATAGGAGAAGTAAGTAAAAAATGATTTGAAAATAAAAAAAATTAAGTTTAATTAATTTAAAAAATATAATATATAAATTAATGTAATTTATATATATGATTATTATTAAACAAATTTTATTTCTATTATTTTTTTTATTATTTTACTATAAAAAATATTTTTTGCGAATTTAAATTTTAGTCTTGACAAATTTTAAATTTTAATTAAAAATAATAAATAAATTTATTTCATAAAAATTATATATTGATTTTGATTTTTGTAGTAAATAATTTAACATAATTAATATATTATTAAATTTTATATTTATAATTAATTTTTTTATTTTTGATTTTCTATAAAAAAAATATTAAAAATTCATATATATATTGTTTTTAGTATTTTATTTTATTAAATATATATATATCAATCGTATAATTAAAAAAAAAAAAAAAACTAAAAAAAAATGTATAATAACCCATCAAAAAGTTAACAAAAAATTTAAAATCAAAGTGATTTAGAAACTCCTTAAAGTCGTATGTATATATAAATGCAAGAAGTATATATTTTATTTAATTTTTTATACAAATTAATTTAATTTTTATTTAAAAACTATACATAAAAAAAGGATAATAGCTTATAAAGAAATAAACTTATGAACAAATTTAAAGAAATGGATGAAATATATAAGAACCTTTCACAGGATGATAAGAAATGTATATATGAAATATATTCTAAACACTAAAAAATGATTGAAAAAATCGAAATTATGAATTCGGATTTTAGTAGTTCAATAAAGAAAACTATAATAGAAAACAAATCTTAAATAAATGCTTCAATTATTGATACTCTGGATTTTTAAAAATTACCTTCTTTGGATTTGAATTTATTAATAAAAGTTTTTTTATAAAAGAATTAATAAAAATTATAATATTAATAGGCTTAATAATTATCTACTGAGATATTACAATAAATTGAATAATAAATATTAAACGAAAAAAATAAATAAGATGTAAAATTAAACAATGAAATGGAAATATTTAATGATTTTAATAATAAAAATGAATAAAATTAAAAACAAAATAACTAAATAAAAAATGACTAAATACTAAATTTCTCGAATTTTTAAGCTTAAATGTTAGGTTTGATTTAAGAAAATTATAATTTTATATAGAAAATTTAATAAAATAATTATAAAAAATCTTCACTTTTAGAAGAATATGAAGAAGAAGATAATTAAGAGTATTAAAAAATGACTAAATAATTGACAAAAAAATAAATAAATATAAGATGGTAAAGAACATAATAAAAAAAAGTAATTGAAAAAATTTAGAAAAAAAAACCTATTTTTTTAATTTAAAAAAATTATAATTTCAAACGCAGTCCAATACAGTGGAATAAAATGTAGGAAAAAATAAAACAGTTAAAATTTTAAATTCAAAATTAATAATAATTAATGTAAAAACATAAAAGTTAAAGCTTAAAAATACAACCTTCTATTTTCGAGACTTCTAAAAAAAAATTACTTGAAATTTTAGACAAATCAAATAGATTTGCTTTCTTTTAAAAAAATTATAATTTATTTACTAATTAAATCTAGAATGATAGTGTTACAGAAATTAACTCTCTTGATATGCAAGAATAAACAGAAAGTTATTAAGATAAAGAAAAAACAAATAATAATTAATTCTAAAAATAAAAAAATAATGATATTAAATAAAATAATTAAATGAATTATAATAATATTTTTGATAATGAAGAGTAGGAAAAAATTATAGTCGGGCAAAATAATAATAATATTGAAAGTATACAAAACATTGATAACTTTTTGATTTTCGATAATAACTATGAAATAGCAAATATTTAAAATAATATATAGAGAAGTTATGATAATTTATATAACCTTAATTATTTTATTTGAACAAGGATATTGAAAGATAGAAAGAAACCATATATATATTTATTAAAATAAATATTATATTTTTTAATTAAAAATTATATTAAGTTAAAAAATATTTATATATATTATTATTATTAATATTTTAATTATAATAAATTATTTTTAGTTTTAAACAAAATTAAGCATTTTTAATTTTTTTTAATATTTTTTTTTTCAAGAAATAAAAATAAAATATAATGATGAATATATAAAATATAATAATTTAAATTATAAAACTTAGAAAAACTAAATAATATGAAATTAATGTAATATCAAAAATAAATAAATTATTATATAAATTATATAATAATTATATATATTAATAAAATGTAATTTTATATTTAAATTTTTCTATTTGAAAAAATACTATTATTAAAAATATATTTTTACTTAAAAATTTATAATTTATTTAATTTAAGTTAATAAATTGATATCATATTATAAATTATTTATAAAAAATTTATTTTATTAAAAATATTATTTTTAAAATAATATTTCTATAATATTCTTTTTTACATAAACATATATTAAAATATTTATTACAAGCTATTTTTAAAAATAATATTTTTTTTTCACATACTTCAATTTTTTTTGTTTTATTTTTATATATAAAAATTGTATTATATATTATTAATATTTACCTATTTGGTTCGCCAATCTTGATTCATTTATCAATTATAATTTACATGAAAATATTAATAAACAAAATTTGATTTCACATATAATTTATTCAAATATAAATTTAAATATTAAATATATAAATAAATATATATAAGAAATCATAAGTTAATTATATTATAATTTTAATTTTTATGTAAAAATAATATGATTAAAATAATATATATTATTTAAATAGAAAAAAACCATATAAAACATTAAAACAAAATTTTTTATTAAGATTTCATATTATAAATTTAATATAGATAGAAAAATATATAAATTATATAAATAAAAATAAAATATTTAAAAAAATATATTATTTAATATCGTAAATATATAATTATATATATATTTTATATATATAATATTTAATTAGTTATATTTATATTTATTTTTATTTTATAAATATTATTTTATAAATATATTTTTCTTTTCTATGACTTATAATTTTTTATTTATTATTATATTTAATTAAACATAAATATTTTTAATTTTTATTTTAAAAAAATAATATCACTTATACATAACATCTTTTTTTAAAGGCTTATATACTTAAGATTTCGTTAATATTTCAGGATTTTGATAACTATTAAAATCATAGGGACTTATTGACTTTTTAAGATTAGGTTCTCTAGTAAAAATATTTATAATAGGTTCTTTATATTTTTCATTGAAGAAAATTGAAATAGGCATATCATTTAATTATTAATCTAATTATGTTTTTGAAGTTTTTAATAAAGACTTTTTTAAAAGGATTCCTTATTTAACAGCTTTCCCTTCTCTTAAATTCTATTTTTATAAAAAAAAAAATATGTATAAATTTTTTTACTTAATGTTTAAAAAAAATACTTTAATTTTATCCAATTAAGAAGCTTTTAAAAGTTAAGCCTTTTTAATTTTCATATAAGAAGGCCCTTTGAAAATATTATTTTGGGCTTCTAAAATTTTATTTTCTTATTTATTTTCAAATTTAGTTGTTTCCTGAATAATTTCTGGATTAGAAAAAATATCTATTTTTCCAATATTAATTTTGAAATCAAGTTTATCTTTAAAAGGTTATTTTGTTGATTTTAAAGTTTCCTCTTTTAATTTTCTTGATATATAATAAGGAGTATTTTTTATTTCCTCAATAGTACTTAAAGGTAGAAGTTTAGGATGTAATAATCTTTCTTCTTAGCTTTTTTTAGGTATATGTTAAAATGATTATTTATTTTTATATCTCTATTTATATTTATATATAAAATATTTTTTATTTTATTTTTACATCTTTTTCTTATTTCTCAGATTTAATTTTCTCTTCATGTAAATTAAAAGGGTCTATAGATAAAGACAAGTATTCTTTAGAATATGTATAGAAATAATTCTTATCTTATTTTATATTTTCTCTTTATTTTTATAATTATACTTCATACCAATTATTTTTCTGATTTCCGTATATATATACAGGTTCATCTTACAAAGTATTAAAATTAGTTTTTTATAATTTAATTGTATTTTTTGTATTATGTTCAAGTTCTTTTTTTTTATATTAGTATTTTTTCATTTTTAAATAATCTCTGTTTTCTGTTTTACTATTTATAAATATTTATTATTATTAATTATTTAATAATTGTTATGCATTATCTTCTATAAAAACATCTAATTCTTATTTTTATTGGGTTTAATTTTTAGAAGAAGCTGAGAAATTGAAATAATTTTAACTTCTTGAAGTATTTTAGAATGAACTTAATAAAATTTTCAACTTTTTTTTATCGTTAAAACCATGTATATCTTATAGAGTTAAAAAATCACTATATATTCTTTCTAATTAAAATAAATTCTTTTATTTAAATTATTAATTTATTTTTTATTTATAAAAAAATTAAAAATACTTAAGCATTAGGAAATAAATTAAACTAAGATACTATTTTTAAATCATCACATTTACATATTTCGTTGATTTAATTTAATGTTTTACATAATGTTTCTGGGACTTTACTTCTTATATAAATATCTGGTTAGCTTAGTATATGTTTTAATGTATTTCTTAATCTAATCTTTTATATATTTAATAAATATATATAAATTAATTAATTTTTATTTTTACGCGTTTAATATCCATATCAAAAAAAGAATATAATCTTTCTTTAAATTTAATTTTAGAATTTTTTAATATTTTAAAATTTTCATTATTTTAATTTTCTATAGGAGTTTATTCATAAAGTCTATAATTTATTTTTTAATTTATATAAAAGAAATATATACTTTTTAATAGTTCCGTCAGATAATCCTTCAATAATAAAAAGTCTAAAATTATCATCAATAATTTCAAACCCACTTAAAAAATCTAAACTAGTGCTTTTTCTTTCTTCTTCGGTAAGTTTTTTAGTTGTAATAGCTCTAATACCCCCATGTTCAATTTAAGCTGCTAAAATATTAATATCATAAAAAGCCGCTTATAATTTTTCAACAAAATTTTCTGAATTTTTATAAGACATAAAATAAATTATTCTTTCAAAAACTTATTTTTCGCCGCCTTATTCTTAATTATTTTTTTCTTCTTTTTTTATTTCTTCTTAAACTTATTTCTAATTGAAACTTCCTAAAGGGAAAGGAAGATAAAAATTAACAA